AAGTCGGTAACGCTTCGGTAGGCCAGCTTGCGGACACTTCCGCGGATGTCTAAAAGTTCACGTCGCGTTTTCAATCACGTGTACATACTGTCTTCGGGTATTTATTGCTGAATTAATTGCATGTCTACAGGATCGGTGACGGCAGTGTAATCCGCGCCGTAATTCTGAAACGCCACTGCGCAGGACGACACAGCTAGCCTTCGTTGCCACGGAGTGAGACTCTCTAGTATAATACGCCGACTTTTGGCAATTTGGTTATCCAAGCGTCACATAATGAGTATCCGAGAGACATCCGGCAAAGTCTCCGTCCACTTCTTCGACGTCGATTTCCAAATGGCAGGCAATGCATCAATAGCCTTGGTGATATTGGCGAAGAGCGTGTTCGAGTGAATGGCTCCCATGTAATAAGTGAAGAACGCGCGATGTTCTGGCTCCGTACTGTCTGCCGCCGCGATAAAGCATGGCCACACGAACCCATGGGCTCCCGGATCCGTCGGATGCGCCTGAGCGATTAGCCGGCGCAGCTCTTCCCGCAGATGCCATGAGCTTTCGTTCGATGTCATCCGCATTAGGTAGATCTGGGCGCCAATGGTGAATGATCGCCTGGCCAGCCAGAGTGTTCTATTGTGTTGAGCGTCTGCACGAACGCTGGACGGTAACCAGACCCCGGAGTCCACGGGATGGCTTAAGGTCTTAAGACCCTCATCCTTGTTGAGTAGAGACCCACCCAGAAATGAGAACATGTCGGTCTGTCGTAGAAGGAACTCGTGCAGTTGAGGGTGCCCTGATGACTTGACGTTCTTGGCCATGGTGAACAGCGTCTGGAGCAGGAACTTGTACTCCGGGCTGCCAGTCACCGTCTCCCCGACGAGGAGTACGAGCAACGTTGCCCATGTAGCCGGGTTGAACACCTGATCGGGCGACCCGATGTTGGAGGCCCGTAACAAGCGGGATATAATGACGGAGCGATCGGCTTCTGCTGCCGCATGTAATGCTGGTTGCCTGAGGCCAACGTGCTGAGCAGCCACCACGGCAACAGCGCGCTGCAGCACCTCATCCTGACAAGCCATCGGAAGGATGAAATCGCGATAGCCATTGGAGATATCCAGCAAAACCATGACCGGGGCGATGTTATTGGCAAAATAGTGGAATAGTCCACGGGTTTGTGAGCTCAAAGGAGCGATCCAAGGCTGGATTGCCTGGTTCATCCTTCTGGTTAAGATTGCGGTTTTGTCGGCATTGTCATTCTCAACATTCTCTTCGGGCGATACCACGGTCGCGGAATCCTGCGCGAAGTTTGTCTTGTCTATACCAAATGTAGTCGAGGTCGACGTCGTAGGAAGGGCAACTACAGGCTCGCTGCGTGGCAAAAGACGGTTTTCAAGTGACATCGGAGAGAACCGTTCGACGGCATCGTGTTGTCCATCGACTGGCGCATTCGAGACTGGCTTCGAAGCACGACTCTTGCTAACCCTTTTCTTCCTCTCATGAGACCATCGAATCTGCGAGACGATAGGAACGCATTGTTTGTGAACAGAGACCGGGTCGACATTGAGGACGGGGATAGGGCTGCCTTTCAACTTCCCACGCGTCGCGACTCCATTGCCGAATCGAAAGCGACCGAGGCCACTGCACTCAATCCCCTTTTTCAGGCATTTTTGACAGGTAGGTTCGGCCCTATCGCAGACAATCCGTCGCTTGGTACATTGAAAGCATCCTGACAAGGGGAGACAGAGACAGTTAGCTCGAGATTTGCCTGGGGTGTTTCTGCGAGGGCGCAATCGCACGTACCACGCGATTTAGCACTTTGGTCGGTGTCGGTCCCGGTCATCTAAACAAATGGACTGGCGACCGATGAACCAAATTCATGTGTTCATGTAGGGACCTTAGGCTGGATGTGGCAAGCGCATGAGAGTGATTGGTGGAATGATTAGATTATCGATATCTTCTCGACGAGCAGCAGCAGAAGCAGCAGCAGCAGCAGAGTAGGAAATGGAGATGAAGATAAGAGCAAGAAGCACAATCGTGCAGATTACGGGATTCCCCGTTCCGGAACGGAATAGCCTCCATCCGAACAATGACTAATCTGCTAGTCACACTGCTGCCTTGCTTGTGCAGTAAACATTCAAACATTCATGGATTACATTGTTGATGGCACATCCATGATGGCTGCCGCTTTAACCGGAATGAGGATCATTGCTCCGGTCATATCCACCATACTGACCATGTCAGTAACACAAATCACGGTTGACTGTCCCTGTAGAGCACTCCACCGCGTATCTATGCCGATCTGAGCTTGACAGAATCAAGCCTTTGGTGATCATTTCTTGGTGACACTGACACTTGACCAGGTTCGCGGGCTGACATGGGCCCTTGCAGTTGGGAGAATGTCATCAGACTGGTTATGTTTTCAACGGCTGTGTACCTCTGCACTCCTGCAACCCAGTCTGATGCGCATGCTGGACATTCCACCTGGAATAGAGTGGGTAGCGAAGCGGATGGCTTGAGCCCCGCCGAGCGCTAAATTGTCTGCTCGGGCTTGATTCCTCAACATGAAAGCTAATTTGAAAGTCAATATAAAATTCAAGGAGACCGACGGTGACGACAGCCACTCTCAGCAGGTGCCTGACCGAGGTGTTCGCCCTATCATGGCGCGATATGAAGACTGCCCCTCATCAGGCCAATCTCCTGCGGACTCCGACGCGCCTTGCTTGCTTATCGCTCGGTGGGCCAGCTGGCTGCACCAATCCCCAGCCAGGCTGACGCAAACCCCACTATCGGCAATATCCATCATGGACAACGGATCCACCCATTGTAGTTGAGTGACGGCGATGGTGGTGATGATGCTGCTGCTGCTGCTGCTGCTGCTTGCTCCTGTCCTCCCATGTCACCCGCAGGTAGCACCAATGGTCTTTCACCCTCTCACGACTGCTCACGCACCATTTCAGACAGTCCTGACGAAATGAAGGGAGATGAGTTCAAGCTGCGCGCTAAAGATTTAGTCTGCAGACTAATCTCCAAGCGAAAGTGACCGAGTCACCCGGCAGCATGAGGTCTTTCGCAGTGATGTAGAAGTATAAAACCCACCCGCGATACCCCTCTCTCACAATCCTCACTACACCTCCTTCCGTTCTCTAGCATTGTAACAGGATCTTTCTTTATCACTGCCTTTCACAATGCGCTTCACCGCCGGTTCCCTGGCTGCTGCCACTCTCCTTGCGGGTGTTGTCTCAGCAGCCCCTGCCCCCGCCCGCAATGGTCTGAGCAAAAGGGTGTACAAGCCCACTCCTATTGCCAGCCGTACTAGCAACAAGGCCTCATCCAGTGTCTTGGAACTGAAGAAGGTGAAGAGTAGCAGTGGTGCGAGCCGCAGCGCTTCCCGTCTGAAGAAAACCAGCTCCAGCACGACTACCTCCGGCAGCTCTACCTTGATCTCGCTCTTTGAAGGCGAGGAGTTTGCTACCTCCATCACAGTTGGTGGGGCCTCTTTCGACGTGATCGTTGACACTGGTTCCAGTGATCTGTGGCTGGTGGAAGAGGGCTTCACCTGCCTGAACGAGAACGAGAAGCAGGTCTCCGAATCCACCTGCGCGTTCGGTCCCACCTGGTCCCCCACGAGCGCCTTCGCCAAGATCTCCGGCGAGGAATTCTCCATCAGCTATGGCGACGGAGAGTTTGCCATCGGAGTTATGGGCAAGGATGAAGTCACGCTGGCCGGGATCAGCGTCGAGCAGGAGCTGGCCGGTGTCACCGAGGCATACTGGGAGGGAGATGGTACCACTTCCGGTCTCGTTGGTCTGGCCTACCCCGGCATGTAAGTTTCTCTTCAGCACCTTGGAGCTCATTGCGGTTGGCGTGTCACAAAACGGTCTAACTTATCTGCCCACAGTACGAGCGCCTACAGCACCCGCACCGAGCAGCAGGTGGAATACGACCCCATCATCACCACCCTAGTCGATGAAGGTCTCATCGATTCCTACTTCAGCATCGCCATCGAGCGCGATGTCTCCGGGGCTGCTGGTTACATCACCCTTGGTGGTCTTCCTCCCGTCAACTATACTGACACTTGGTCATCCACCGATATCCTGGTGACCACCTACGACGGTCAGGACGAAGGCTACGCCTACTACACCATCGAGATCGATGCCGTCACTCTGAGCGGCAAGTCGCTCACTGCGGCCGGGGGCAGTAGCATCCAGTACATTGTCGACAGCGGCACGACCCTGAACTACTACCCGACTTCGATCGCGGCCGAAGTCAACGCCGCCTTTTCCCCTGCCGCCACGTACAGCGAGGATGAGGGCGCCTACGTGGTCGACTGCGATGCCACGGCCCCCGCCCACGGGATCACCATCGGTGGAACCACCTACATCATCAACCCCTTGGACATGATCCTCGACGCCGGCACCGATGACAGTGGCAACACTGTCTGTATCTCGGGTATTGTCGATGGTGGCGACGACTACAGCGAGGATATCTTCATCCTTGGCGATGTCTTCCTGAAGAATGTGGTCGCCGTCTTTGACGTTGGTGATGTGGAGCTCAAGTTCGCTCCCAGAGAATTTTACGACTCCAATGACACCTACTAAGGGCTGCTGCGTTGCAGCTTGAGAAGACGGAGCTTAGCGGGTTACTTTTACAATATGTGTCGACGTCGATGTTTGTTTTATTCATGTGATATGATCTGACGTTACAGACCGATTGTATACTGTTGGTCTGTTGCATACGGTCACCGGCTGTGCCGGGCTATGTTAAATAATACGAAGTTTGGTGATTTGTGATCAATCAAAAAAGGTTTTTATTCTGACTTATGAGGATTTGAGCCTATTCATCAACGTGGAGAGCGCTGGCGGGCCGAAATCGGAAGGCGCGTCCGCGACTCGGGAGTAGAAACGCCAACTTCCAACCTTTAAACACTACCTAGTAAGTTCTCCACAACTCCGTCCAACGACACCCTCTGCACTCGTCCTGTCCTCAACCGCCCTATCAATGAGCCTCTTTCATCCCAAACTCCAATACGCACTCGCACTTTCGAAAAAGGCTTTCACATGCCTCTCCCTTAATTTATCCTGTGCCTCGTCCAAGGCTCCAGCTGGCCGAAAGAACAACGCGCAGCGACCACATCGGTCCTTGGCGCAATTGCAGAACACCATGCGATGGATATTGATGGCTTCTCCGATCTCGTACTCTGCCTAAGTTCCTTCATCTGAAGTCTTGAAACACATCTATGTGGCATATCGCACCGACCGCACGGGCGTGGTTGACGTGGCCCGTCTCGATAGCCGCCGTGCGGGTTTCATCCAAGGCCGGGAAGAACAAAACATCGTCCAGGAAGTTGATGGGGAATGTGCAGGGCTTGCGTGCGGCTGTACCCTCTTCACACGTTGTCGTTATACCACACGTGCTGCTGCTGCTGCTGCTGCTGCTGCCATCTACACCAATGGTGACCCCGAGAACCTCAGGACTTGGGATTAAGCCGACAGTCAACACGTCATCCATTTACAAGAGCTACATTCCATATCGATCACGTATCAATGGCTTAATGGGGCTATGGAGCATGAGGATATCAACATGTTTGAAAGTTTTGATACTGCTCTGAGCTCTTATCCTCCTAGGAAAACCAGCGATAGCCGAAGAACAACCCCCCGCTCAACTCCAGGTGCAATCCGACAAATCCTCGCGCGCACGATCACAGTTGGACTGGCCTGAGTGGGTATAGCACAGGCCAGCGACGCCCGCCGCCCACAGGGCCCCGCATTCCCACATCACAATCGCCAAGTCGCACAGCTCGCGGATCTTTTGGTCCTGCGGGTACGCGATCTCCGCCGCCAGCACCGCCCCCACGTATTCATTCTCCAGGGGGAGGTGGTCGTCCGTCCCGCGCACGTACGCGAGCACCGGCCGGACCAGGAGATCGGCCACACGCCGGGTTTCCGCCAACGGGTTTGATGCCAGCAGTGCGTTGAAGCGCGCCTCGGCCGCCGCGAAGGCGCCTTCTCCGCGCTCGACGGGCGTGCCGCACGCGCGGAAGTGCTCTAGTGACGGTCGCGCGGTGGGAATGGTGGCCGCGATTGCCATGGCCTCGACACTCAGGTCAGTCCGGCCGAGGAGGGTGATGGGTCGGTGGCGGCAGTTGGCGAGCTGCCACCAGTGGGTGAAGAGGATGCACAAGGCGGCTGGGTTATAGGGGTCGTGGTCGCGATACCAGATCATGGCGCCCACCAAGCGCGAGTAAACCTCCGCCAGGGGCCCTTCATCCAGTGATCCCTGCGTCAATGTAGGTATGATATTGCTAATCTCGCCGCAGGCCAGGTCCGCGCCTAGATCGATCCAGTCATGCACCACGCAGCCCAGCCCCGCCATCGCGGCCATCTGCTCGCCGCCCCCAGAGTCGTAGTAGACATGGCAGAACACCGCGTCCGCGAGCTTGTAGCGGGCCAGCCGCGCCAGATTGTCCCAGACCACCATGCACGGCCGGGAGACAACCGTTGCGGTGTCCTCGATGATGGTCTTCTGGCGGAGACAGGCGTAGTTGCACCCCTTGACGACGCGAATGTCGGTGATGTGCGGGCCCGCGGAGACGGCTGCCTCGGCGGTGGCCGCCACATCGGCAAAGGCACTAGCTAGTTTCTCCGCCATCGCAGGGCTGTTCTTACCGATCGAGTAGTCGAGGACGAAGGCTGAGTCCATGATCGCCCAGAGGCCCGAGATCGACCCCCCGTAGACGCCCCGGTTGTAGCCCACGGCCATGGAGAAGATGCTCGTGTTGAGCAGCGGGCCGACGCAGTCCTCGGCTGCCAGAACCTCGGTCGTGGCTGGGTCGAGCGAGAGCGCCACGCCACTCAGCTTGGGAGGTAGAGGTTTGCGAGCGATACACCAGGTGGGCATTGGAGCTGCATGAACTGCAGCGAACGGAAGGCGCTCCGTGACCCCCGTCGAGATCACCTTGTTCCGTGCTGCCAGGAGCACCGCGGCGTCCGCGAGCAGCTCTAGGGCACAGTCCACAGCGTCTGCCACACGCGTGTTGCGCCCCCATGAGATGTTCGCCGCGGCAGTCAGGACGCCTCCGGTCTGTGGAGTGTCAGAACGACGGGCTAGGCTGATTGTCGTGACTAGCGTGTCGGTTTCAGCGTGATAGTGCTGGGTAAATTTACTGGACCCCGCCTCGACCGGACCGATGCCATTCGTCTTGAGCGCCCAGCAGGGAGCGCCCAAGGGACACTGCATTGTTGACCCTTCGCCCAGCACTTGGCTGGTCGACCACGTCGATGTAAGACGGACCGTCGCTGCAGGGTCTGCAGCCGACGCCTCGCCGGTGCGATCGCCCCAGTGTGAAACGACCGGCAGGCCATCGAAGGCGGGCGACCGACTGCGACCTCCACTAATCACCAGCCCTGGCACAAGATCTGACAAGGGCTGACCGGGATTCTGCTGGTCCCAAGGCAGCTGGATTTCCTTCGAGCGAGCGAGGATCGTGTCAATGTGGGCTTGGTCCATGCCAACAGACTTGCCACCTGGCTTATGTCTGGAAATCAAAGGCGAAGACCGTTTGATGTTGGACATGAAGTCGGTGGCGTCCCGACAGGACATTCGCGTGCTGAACGAAGGCTGTTCTTCGGCGCGCGGGTCGACCAGCCCCCCCGAGATCACCTCGTCGGGGAGGCTTTCGGTGCGGGCACTGTAAGGCATGATGAGTTGATCGTGTATGTAACACGACGACGCTATCGCAAGACCACTGCAATTATATTCTTTGCGGGAGACTCTGGAAAGGACTTTGGGTTGGTCGTGGTACAGTACTCACCATGACGACAGAGGCTTGGGGTTCAAGAACCCCCGCAGAATGCTGTTTTGCTCAGTTGAATGCCTTTCGTATCTTTGTACGCAGCATTAGCCTTGCGCAGCTCTTCAACCTCATAGGTGGGTGCTGAATTAATGACCCGGGTTTGTCCACGTATCAATCAAAAGCAAACAACATGTCTCGGCCTCCGGAAAAAAGGTCAGACATAATCCCTGTATCGATTGATAACTAGGAGCTCATCCAGCCAATTGGGAACACTGCCCATGGCGTTGGCTCAGCAGAGCTGCAGCTGAGACTTGCGATATGCATGTGTCTGCTCATACGTGACGATCGTCTGCTGTGATTGACATCATATCTAATCATTTCCGCACGAAGGGATACGCTATAGTCACACTAAGCCCCTAATCATCATAGTGATCCAAGTCAGCTCGATTCAACTCATCCATCAATTCGTCTCTTTCCACAAGGAGTTACCTTGCTATTCGCCGGCTCTGAATTCCACAAGTAGATAAGATTCCTGACAGCGACCTGGTTTCTTCGCTCGCAGGAAAACAGGGAACGAGTCGATATCTCTCTCTCTCTGACCAGGCCAAAGGCCCCTTCAATTCTACGAATTCCTCACTGCTTGGTGCTATTTTCCTGAGCTCGTCAGGCTTCCCCCTTGCGACAAGCGACCTTCATCCCACAGTCGACAAAATCATTTGCCACTTTCTTCTCCTCCGCGGGGCAAACGATCTCTTCTCCAGTCCCCTCCAGCTGTCCCCTTCCAAATTCAGTCCCTTTCTTTCATTCAATCGACCGAACTGCTAATGCTTACTGAGCATCTTCAGATCAATGCCCAGCAGGCTCCCAAGAATTGGAGCTCTGTCCTGAGCCGCACACAGTGGGAATCTCCACTCCCGGTGCGTTTCTTGTTGCGGCGCTCCAACCTCTCCCTCAGACGTTCCTCGATGAGATGCTCGACTGTTTGGCCTTCGATCATAGTATTCTTGATTGTGGTTGCTTCCTCAGACGTAAAGTATGGTTCCCCGAAGTAGGATAGGTCGGAAACCTTGTCGAGCCGCTTCTGCGAGTCGGAGGCGTAGAGGTTTTCGGGATCGTGGAGGAGGACGTGGACTCGGTACCGAGTGTCGGTGAGATTGTTCCTGATGCATGTTGGAGATCTGCGATGGTGGTGGGGTGTTCAAGTGTGGTAGGGCTGGGGGATACTGTGTCTTCGGGATGGTTGCATGGGGATGACGTCGCCATGATGGGACGTTGTGTTACGGATGATAATTAAAAGCAGAGGATTGTTTGATGGGTTGGTGTTCAGCAAAGATGAAAGGCTGATTGAAGACTGACTCATGGACGGAGAGTGCTTCTGTGCTGATGACACCATGATTCGACCGACTTCCCCTTCACCCCTTGTTTTCTCCCAGCTCCATCGTCTATGATACGGTTGTTTGCAGTAGCTAATTCTCACAGCGAGTTCGTAAATCAAAGGGATAGCCTCTTGGCTTTAATGACTCCTGCCCTTCGAGGTGAGGTAATGTCCATGGAGTGGATCAGGCCGGTTACATTGGGTTTACAATTCGGAACTTGAGCGACTAAGAGGTTTCTTCTTAGATTATTGTAAGGCCGTAAGAGATCACTCCAGGGCAGATCATACGAGCAAATGCCCATTGACTATCTATAATCTTTATGTCTCTATTACTATCCTGAACAGCTCTCATACAACCGCCGCCATTTGGCTTCAGACAAGCCATGACAAATAGTCAATTGCCCATGGATTGTGTCTGTCACAAAGGTCGAGCGCAAGGTGTCTCAATCCATTACAGTGTTCTGCACAAAACTGCGACCCGGTGAGTGATGACTGCCTGAAGACTTGATCTCGAGTCACCGCACTGGGAGACACTGATGTCCAGCCCACCTAGAAGATCCCGGCTTCGATACCGTTGCCCAGCTGAACCCTCGCAGCTCGCTCGGGTATTCCAATTGTGCATTTGTAGGCCAAAAAATTTGTTTCCACAGCTTGTCCTGCAGCTGGCGACAGAATTGCTCCAATTCGAGCGACACCGCTCACGACGTGGTCTCGTATTTGCTCGCCTTGCGAATCCGCGGCCCGTACACCCAGAAGATCCACGGAATTGGGGCCAGGAGAAGCGTCAACAGAGCCAGGAGAGTGGTAGCCCAGCCCACCCCCAGGGCCTCAAACATCTGCAGAGTGAACAGAGGAAAGGCGCAGCTCAAGAAGTATCGGCTGAACATCATCGCCCCGGAGGCCGACGCACCATACAGGGGTCCGTAGGTGTCCAGCATGAAGAGTCCCGCGCCGGTATATATCAGCAAGCAACTGAACATCGAAAGGCCCTGGAAGATGATGGGGACAATCCAGTGAACGCGGAAGTTGGCAGTCCAGCTGAGGATCAGCAGCGCCGCGGGCAGGAGCACACTGCCTATCATCGCCGAGACCAACCGAGCCTCGGGAGGCATGCGAGCGTCCGACCCATGCGTCTGCTTCCATGCACGTAGCCGGGGCTGGAAGTAGAACCGGTCGATCAGAACCTGGGGAACGCAGGCGATCAAATTTCCGATGGTCACCCCGAGGTACGAAAGCGCCTGGCCCGTTCGACCGAAGCCGTAGTAGTGGGAAAAGACCCAGGAGATCGAGGTCACAAATGCATAGAGGAGTCCGAACAGCAGGCCGTTGTACAGGCTAACCAGGGATACGATCGGTTCGGTGAAGAGCATGTGCATCGGTCGCAGGAAAAGGACGACAATGAAGTGTTGGACGTCTTGGCCTGCCGTGGTCTTGCGCGATGCGCCACTCTCCACGCCCAATCGGTTGGCGCGACGTCGCAGGATCACTGCCTTGTACGTCTCCTTGGTGAATAATACGGAGCAGTAGAGCACTCCGGCCAGAATGATGGGGACCCATTGGGTCCATCTCCAGTCGTCAGTTTGGATCATCACGAAGCCTCCCGCGAGGGGGGCCACAGTCGCCGCCAGAGTCGGAATGGCATAGTAGACCGCGAGGACAGAGCCGCGATCCGTGTCATGTGTATAATCTAGGATTGTTGCCGAAGCGTTGCTGATGTTGGGAGAGCCAAATATCGCCGCGAAGAACCGACACAGAATCAGGCCCGAGATCGTTTGGGACACGGCGGCGCCCACCATGAACAGAATGAATATAGGGGTGGTCGCGAGATAGACGGCTTTGCGCCCATATTTCTCGGACAGAGGAGCCCCGATGATCGGCCCGAATGCCATTCCAAGATTGTTCAAAGAGAGAGGTAGCATGGCCACCTCGGAGCTGCACCCCATCGCCTTCATCACTTCCTCCTGCGCCGGTGCATAGATCGCACCCGCAAAGGCACTCACGAACGCTAACAAGGTCACACTAGAGATGCCCAGTAGCTTCATGCCGAGTGAGAAGTTTCGTGGGTTGTCGGGGTCGTCCGGTCCATGCCAATCCATTGGTCGGTCATCTTGGAGGTTGTTCATGCCCTCACTTTCGCACTTCATCTTTACACCGGTTCTCGCTTTCCAAAAAAAAAAAAGAAAGAAAGAAAACTAGTAACTATGCAAGAGGAAAGTATTAGGGCAACAATATACGTGCTAAAGAAGTTATTCCTTCTGAGAAGTATTTGGAAGGAACAGCAGTAGCAATTAGTACCGAGCATTTATACGGTGTGAAGTTATTCGGACATCGATGTCCGAGCTGCCCTAAACACTGTGGGCCTTTTACAGCTCCAGTTTGAATGTTCACGGCAACGAAGCATCTTTGCCGTTTATTCTCGGAAGCCAGGTCAATTACCCGACAAAGCCAGATCCACAGCTGCTTGAGCATGAACGATGCTGGTATCAATTATGGGAACCTCACTGTCGCTCTGATCAACCAGCATTCCAGATTCCGTACATCCCAGGATGACCAGTTCCGCGCCTCGGTCGATGAGGTCGGCAATCGCTGCCCTGAACTTGGCGCGTGTCTCGTCACGAAAGACGTTGCTCGCCAACTCTCCATAAAGAGCATCGTGAACGTTCGTCTGATGTTGTCCCTCGGCCACCAGAACATTGAGTCCGTACTGTTGCTGCAGGCGCCCGACAAAGTATGTGCCCGTCATGGTGTATCGACTGCCCAAAAGCCCTACGGTCTTGACACCACCCTCGACCACCTTCCGCGCGGCAGCATCCACGATGTGCAGCATCGGAAGATCCACGTTATTCATGATATATTCGGCGGCTGTGTGGACGGTATTGCAGGCCAGAAGGAAGAAGTCAGCGCCCGCTGCTTTGAGCTTCTGGGCTTCCCCAGCGAGGATCCTTCCGACTTGATCCCAGTCACCTTCCTTTTGAGCCTTCTCGATCAGCGCAAAGTCTGTCTGGATCATGACTAGGCGTGGAGTGTGATTTTCGGTGCTATCGGTGCGCTCTCTGTAGTACTCGTTGATTCTCCTGTAGTAAACCATCGAGCTTGGCCATGCGATGCCCCCGACAATGCCGATCCTCTTCATTGTGCCTTATATTATTGTTGTCAGTTTTTTACGGATACACAGCGGGTGACTTGAGGCTTACAAACCTGGGCTCGGAGAGGCTGAAGAGTCAGAAAAGTGATTAGCTGGTGAAACTGGATTGTTTGTTGAGTGGGAAGGGAAGACGCACTCTATATGTTATCTGTGTCTGTCTTTCCGAGACCACATGTACGTCATGAATCTTACAACTATTGTATGCTAACTCCCATCTATTTCACTTGTAAAGCCGCCTCAATCAATTCTTCTAGATACCTATAAACACACATTGCTGGATTCACTACTGTTCACAAGATTCACCCTTCGAGAACCCCACTTCTCGGTCGCATTATTCATGTCTTCCTCTGTCTCCATGGTTATAGTAACAGTTCTTCGACAAGAATAACTGGGGCGAAGTTACAATCCAAGCACGGGCTTTGTATACAAGGTACACAAGGTGGTCATGTCCGAGTGGCAAAAGCTTGGCTCGGTACTAACGTATGTCCGAGATCCGGCTTTTGCCGACCCGGGGAGAGGCGGACTTACAAGTCCGCGATGTGACATTCTTCCGTCTGCAACACTGCATCGCAGAACTGGCTGCACGTCCTCGGACTTACCTCTAAGGCTCAAATCGACCCTTATTTGGGAAAACTTGCAGCATGCGGGATAGGTCTTCGATTCAGAGACGACCACCTCCAGTCTCACCGACGGACCCCACATGTCGGACATGCAAAGATTGTCGCCAACGAAAGGTCAGATTCGTTTATACCTCATCCCTTTCTACTTAGAATCCTTGAATTTGCTCACAAACGCCACAGGTCAAATGTAACGGCCACCATCCACGGTGCGCAGCCTGCCAGCGCAAGAACATAGAGTGCGTCTATCCACGTGATGAACGGAGAACCCCCCACCGCGCGAAAAAGGCGAATGTACGAGCCCTAGAGAAGCAGGTTGAGGTTCTTCAGGAGAGACTGGGGAGTGTTGCAGACTCCTCTGCGGCTGCAAGGAGTCTGCAACACTCTCTCCATCTTCACTATCACACCTCTGAGTCACTATCTAGTAGGGCTGGACTCTATAGCGGATGTGGGTCTACATTGGCCACTGGAGGCTGAAGCATGGGATCCTTCGACGTTGGATGCTCTGCCGGACGATTTTTTCCTGGCTGACGAGTCGATGTTCGGTATGTTCGGCGGATAAATGCGATGCGCAAGAGTTATAGGGTACGTGGTGTTAGTCCTTCATCTGTCCCGGGATCGGTATGGAGAGGGTTCAAACTATCATGTTGTGATCTGACATATCAAACAAATCTCTCTAGGATTGGAACGGTCAAGCGCCCGGACAAAAAGTGGAACTGCCAAGCATATTCAAATATGCCAGTGATCTAAGCTGGGACCTTGCGTGCCAAGCCTGCTATGCAAAAAGAGTCAACGCACGCAAGCGTATCCAGTCTCCCGGAGTGTATAATGATGTCGAACTGAGTTTGTTGAAAGCATATTCCCGGGGGACTTGCCCAATTGTTCGACGGATTATTGCGAATCTAAGACTCGCCGAGCAACTCCAGAGCAGAAAGTCAATATGTGTGGGACCTCGTGAAGGCGCAATCTAGAAAGAAACGCGCCAAAACAAGTACCAATTCCATCTCTCGCCGCTGGTCGGTGACATGCCCACTAACCACCTCTACGCTCAAGAACATCCGGCACAGCGGTCCCTGTCTTCTGTTTCCCTGATCCACGAAAGTTACTCGAAAACTCAAAGGGGATACGAAAGATTTGCTCCACGTGACGTTCGGCCGGGCCTTTCAAGTCGTGGGAGGGACGTGGAGGCTTGTCGCGTCGATAGGTCAACTGGAGGTATATCATCGTTGCTATAGTCAGCTGTCTTACTTGATGGATAATGATTTTGCCTCCATGCCAAGGAACCGATTAGCGCACACCCACCAATGAGCTGCATTCATCTCTGGCTAAATTTCCCGGTGAGCATGCTCGTCCGGATTCTCCGGGGCCTCGGAGGACATGAACCCTATACGACTGACATGAGCGTCGGCCCCGGAAGGGTCTATCCACTCCATCCTCGAAAACACACGAGTACGACACCGGTGATTAGACTACCCATGTCGTTAACATCTTATCCGTGCAATTGGATCGGAGTCATATATCTCATCGCCATTAAATATACTAAAGTACAAACGCAGACGACCCATGAAATAAATGAAGACTGAATCAAGGAATCCGCGTACCTCATATCCGCACCCTATGCTAGCCAGCAAGAAACAAAGAGAGAGATATGATCGCACCAACAAGCAACAGCAGCATTATAGATCTGAGCACTACATAGTCTCGGGGTCTATCCATGCAACTATCTCACCGCCCAGCCGACGGACCATCCCCGGACAGTTCGTACAAGTGGGTGCTCTTCCGCTTCGCGTCCTCCGGCAACTCGTATCTCTGCCACATCTCCGGCCGCATCTCGGTTGGGCTGTGGGGCTCGCGCGGGGTGGGCGCGCTGGAGTCCAGCATCATCCCGTTGTGGTCTCGCCGTGCGCGACGCGACCGTTTGCGGACCAGCAGGAACGCGGCCGCAGCGAGGCTGATGGCTGCGATGGGGACGCAGACGCCGATGGCGGCCTTGCTGCCTGTGCTTAGCGAAGTAGAGGACTTGCTGGCGGGTGTTCGGGCCTGGGTGGGCGATGGTGTGGATGGGATGCTGGCGGTTTCTGATGTTGATGTGGCAGCAGGGCTGGGTGTGGTTGTTACGGAGGCAGCTGGGGCGGCAGGGCTTGTGGTAGAAGTTGCAGCTGACAGGGTCGATGCTGTTGTGGTCACTGGGAACGGAACATGTTAGTGGGATTCAATGGGACGGTTGAGTGACAAGAAAGGAGGTAGGTACATGTGCTGGCAGGCTGCACTGGTTCGGTCGTCGTTGTCGCGGTCGCATTGAACATGCAGTAGCTGTGGAAGACCTCCAACGCGGTCGAGACCTGATCCTCTGAGTTTGTCCCGCAATTCGATTCGACGCCGGAGGAGATAATGTGATTGAACTCGGAAGAGCTGGCGGTGCAGAAGCAGCTGTAGGATGTGTATTTGCCCCCGTCACCGCAGCCAGACACCATGTCCCGGACGACGCTGCTGAGCGGGGCGACGGCACATTGTGATAACGATGAGTAGTCTGCTACTTTGTTGATGTAGTAGGTTGTTGTGCATTGGGCCGAGATCGACAGCGATAATGCGAGAAGAGCGTGCAAATAACTCCTTCTGCTGTGGCTCGACATCGTGCTGTTGGGACTTTGCCTGGTCAAAACCAGGAAAAAGGGCTCAATGTTAGGGACTGGAACATGGATGTGGGGGCGCCTTTTCTATATAAGGGTATGACAGGGAACGATGGATAAGAAAAAACAAGATGTTTGTTGGGGGCGATGGCCCCATCGCCAGCCCGGGACAGTCGGGCTGTCTTCTGAATTTACCAGTGAAGCCCTAAGGTCCGGAGGGAAATGAAGGATCACCGCCATGCCCAGGCACGAGGCGTTGATTGGTCTTCCCAAAGCAGAAGCATGTTGCGATTGGTGGATCAGAGTCTTCAGCTGTCGACATGACTCGATCTTCAAATTCAGGGTTCTCCGGCTTGACTCGCATACTCTTACGACTCAGCTTTAGCATAGCCCCGTGGAGACATTGTTGGCTACCAACATACTAGGCCATTTTATTCCAGCAGTATAAATGGACTCGACCTCCTGGTTGAGAACTACCACTCCAACAATTGCAGCTCAATACATCCTCGTGTACGGAACACTCGTCGGCAAAATGTGCGGTCTTACCTCTATTCCCCTAATAGCTTTGGCCGTTAGTGGCTGTGTGGGTTCCCCACTTAGCGATATCGGTCACAAAAGGGTAGGCTTGCAGTCTTAACACTGGCTTTTATAACCCGCTAAGTCCAACCAGGAGTCGAACTCTTTGGGTGAAAGCCTGGGCATCAAGGTCGACTCCATGGTCAGCTATGATGGTATCTATTTCGGCTGGGCTCCCAACTACAGCCCCCGGGTCACCATGACCGACCTCAATGAGGCGACGGGTCAAAAGGGCGCCACGTGAGTGCAGTAAAATCCATCTACGATTACAAGGCTCACATTCGATATAGCTACAATGTTTACTCGCAGATCACCCAGGACAACGTGGAATCCGGGTCATATGATGGCAACGATCAATACCCGGTGGACGATATCATTGCCTCCGGGGCCGTTCTGATCGCGTCCCTGATGCCGAAGGTCGACTGGGAGGACATTACGCCTGAGCTGTGTGAATCAGTCGCTTCCTACTTCAAAGACACCTTCACCAGCAAGGGTGTCACCGTCTGGCTTCGCTATGCCCATGAGATGAACTACTACGCCGATCCTAATGTCGTGGTTTATCCTGGCGGCCGTAAGTACTTTCTCCCCAACATTTTCTTGGCAAGGGGCAAGCCTAACCGTTTGTGCCAAACGCCAGGTGACTACGCCGCCTTCAACCAGACCTGGAAAGATATGTATACAGCGACGGAGTCCAACGACATGATCTACATGTTCTGGTCGCCGAATGTGGACACGGACTCGGAACCCATCGCGCCTTGGTGGCCCGGTAAGGAGTACGTCGACATTGTGGGAATGGACTACTACCCTGAAGGTGATGCTCTCCCGGACTTTGCCACAGCCTATGGAAGCTTCTACGACACCTATGCCAAGGGTTATAGCCTGCCGTTTGCTATCGCCGAGACCGGCACACAGCTGAACAACGGCGCCGCTACCACGGCCCAGAAGCAGCAGTGGCTGAAGAGCATCATTAATCCGTCGGAGGGACTGGGTGACTACAGTGAATACTATGTCAGCTGTACCTGGTTCGAGTATGGCCCGCCGGCCAACAGCATCGACTTCTACATCGTGTACAATCAGACGGAGAATGCGGTGCTGGAGACCATCTCCAACACCGAGAATGGGTCCTAGCTATATCGGCGCTGTCATCCATGAGCCCTGTCAGGGTCTGTCGACAGATGAGTTCGCTTGGGTTTCGGAGTAGAATCCACTGATTACTGTGGGGCTGTGTATGTCGGAGAATGTTGTACAGTAGAGAAGATACAAGTTTGATACATATGATCGGGAAATACCAGTATACAGAACAATTGGGGCTCAGAAATAACATTACACTTCTACCGTCTCGAAAATAGAGAGCGAATCTCTAATGAAAAGCAGAATGTAGCACAAAAGCCACGCAATTGCCCCTAGAACCGCCTATAGACTGTGCTACTGTTCCCTGGTTATAATACCGTGACGATATAGAATAGAATCCGGCTTTTCCGCAGTGTGGGTGACACTCAGGCAGGTTCAGCCTTGCGTTGACTGAATTCACCTCAATTCAGCCTCCAGAACGTAAGTAGATCTTATCAGAATGAGGCAGTAGTTGCCCAAACGGGAAACTGGTCTTCGAGGCCGGGCCCGGGCTATGGGGCGTTCCATGGCTCCGGAATCCTTCAGGCACCACGCTAGCAACATGAAGCCTCTTTCGGTTAGTCTCTTCGGGGTTTGAACGTGCATCGGGCGGAGTCTACCAGAAAGGTATAGTCCCAGGCACAATCCAGGCTGCCGGCATCAAATCTTACAATACGAACTGTGGCGGCCAGTCACTGAGTTGAAACAACATCACAATGGCAGTCAAATGCTCTTGGCAGCCTTGCAATTTCATGGCTGCATAGTCCGGCTGGAGACTGAGCCATCAGGCCATCAACAGCATGGCAAACGGTGTCGATAATGAGTATAAAGTTGTAGGAGATTCGTGAAATACTGAATTTGGGCTCGCATTGCTGCCTTACTACCACGATATAGAGTCTGATTCAACGATCATCCATCAGAATGCTAGATTGGAACATCCCAAGCAGTCAGTCGAGCTGCCAAGCACAGGGTTACAATGTGACATGTGACTTCGCCCTGTACACCAATGCTACCGACCTGACCACTTCTCAAAAGCTGAGCCCAAACACGTCTATCACCGGGCCTGGGGTACATTGCTCAACCCTGCATAAGCTGAACAGTAACTGACCATATACAGCTAGTCAAAGCCTTCATCATCACCTCAGTCGTGGCCATAGGAGCTGCCTTCGTCCTGCTCATCGACAAGGCCTGCATCTACTGGAACCAGTACAGAGACACAGACAACGCGATAAGAGAGTATGTACCAACCCTGCGAAGACCCGAAAAGGCTCACCACCTCGAATCCCCGCTAATGATATAACCCCCTAACAGAACGAGATACTACCGCCGCATCGCCCATACCGTCGAGCAGCTCCTGCACACCCTCAGCGACCAGCAACTCACAACCGGCTTCGCGCTGATTTTCGCCCTGAGCGAGCAAGCCTGCACCATCTCCGCCTACCACTACGACCTGGTCTGCGCGATGCTGCTCATGTCCTTCGTCACCCACCTCAACACCCTGGTCAGCATCCCCACCTTCATCCACAAGGGCAAGCTCCTCGCCCTCTACCGGTGCGCGGCCCTGATCACGCAGATCGTCCTCATTAGCATGATCTTCTCCGCCCGCAACCGCGCCGCCTTCCCCGCCCGCCCCAGCTCGCTGGCCATCATGCCCGCCTGCTGCTTCATGGACATGAATGCCAGCGACTGGCTCGGCCTCGCTGACGTGGGGGCGTTCGTCACCCACCTCAACTCGACCACAACCAATACCAGCGGGACGGAGATCTTTTCCCAGGCTGGGCGGTCCAGGGCGTTCGGGCAGTACATTGCTCTGATCGTTTTCACGGGGTTCACTGCTGTGATTGCCGGGGTCAACTGGCTGGAGGCGCGGGAGGTGGATCTGCACCGGTGGCTGCGCTGGGTGAAGCTGTTTCTGGCCGCGACGGTCTCGGTGGCGACCCTGGCGTTGACGGTCTGGGCGTACCAGACGTATAACTCGTTGCGGGCGGGGATGGAGATCGAGGAATGGTATCGACTGGGCGAAGAGAAGACGGCGTGGACGTTTGCGGAGATCGTCCCGCTGGCACTGTTGGCGTCGACGTCGATCACCCTGGTGAAAGCATTGACACGTGAGTATTTTCTATGGACATAACATTGGTGATGGTTTGATTCGTTGCTAATGATGTTGTGTAGAAACGCTGGAAGGGGTGGGTGGACCGCGCTATGAGGGCTTGGTGCAGGTCGGGGTCAAGAGGGTGGCGGTCGAGGTGAGGGAAGAGAATTGATCCCTCACTCATTCCCTTACCAACGATGCAGCCAAGATGTGGGGCCATGATTTCGTGTTGTAGCAGGGCATCAGCGGGCTGTCCTGGAGCCATCGTACACTTTCATTTTCACTGCTCTCATCTCTTCCGAGTTCTTTCGATCAAGCAAGTACACCGCATCCTCAACACATGCGCTAAAGACTCCATTTCCACTCCGCCTCCTCTTCCTGTGAATGGTTGTACCTCATCACAAAGGCATCTTTTCATGAATCCAGTATACTACGTCAATGGGCAATGTTCAGAGCACGGGGCTCCAATACTGTAGAACGAGATCAACGTAGACTGACGCAGGTGGCTTATTCGCCTCCGATGCACCCTTCCTCCCAGGTCGTAAGGATGCCAACCCCTGAAGATGGCAAGCAATCAGACAGAAGATGAAAGGACCTGGCCGGGACCCCGCCGATAGACCGAATCCATGCTACCAAGCCCCCTTGGCTTGGACCCCCCCTGGAAGCTTAATCGCTGGGCACGTCCGCCATGGGGCTCTGCCAGCCGTTATCGGCCATTTATATAGGGCTGGACTATAGCCCCGGTGCTCCACGTTTGGCATGCTGATTGGTCAATCATTACATAGCGTGCTGAGTGGAATCCACTCGCGGAGAAGAAGAGGACGCACAGCCCTTCGCAATCATGGCTCAATAGAGTATGCAGTATGCAAAACTAGAACAGCATGCATCATCGCCAGGTTGACTACACAGTTATTTAAGATGGAGCCAAGGTCGGTACAGATATAATTCGAACTAACCCCCCCTCTCCTACCCAGAGGTCTCAAAGCACAAAAACCATCAAATGACATTCATCCCCAAACATGGCCCGCTACGAAGACGGCTACGACCCGCATTACGGGTACAACGTCAACGCCTTCAAACACCAACCCATCCACCTACTCGCGATCGGCAAAGTCGTCAAACTAATTGCGACGCCCTTTGGACTCGCCAGCGAAGCAATCCACGAGCACCGAATCAAGAAGGTCAAGCACGAGAACGATCCCGTGCGAGTCCAGCTGCCGCCGCAGCATGCCGACCGACTGATTGCGAGCGGGCATGCGCTCCCCGCCGACGAGGACGAGGAACCCACGCATACCCTCATCCATGACGATGGGGTCGACCACGACGAGCAGGACTGGGCGCTAGATGAGATGATGGCCTCTGATGAGCAAGACGAGGAAGGTAGCAACAACAACAACGACACCCATGGGAGCCAAACAGCAAGAGCAGCGACAACCACCCGCAAGAAGCTCCCCTTTCCCGTGATTCTCCCGCAGCGCCGCCCGCGGACCAAAACCCGCGGATTCGTGCGCGCCTACGCCCCCGTCCTGCAGGATGCGGGCGTCGATCAGACCACCTTCCTCCGGTTTCTGAAGGATCTGCACACGCATGCGCAGGCGTCGCCGGCTCTGGAGGTCCTCAGTCTCGCGGCCGGGGTCGCCGGCGTCTATCCCGATCTGCTGGTTGCGGGCGTAGCGCAGGCGGTGCAGATCGCTGCCATGGCCGGGCGGGAGATGCAGGAGCGGTGGCGCACGAATAGATTCCTGGATCAGATGAATCGAGAGCTCTTCATGCCGCGCGGCTTGTATGTGTTGATTGTGCAGTATGAGACTACATCCCGCGAAAATACGGAGGTGGGAACAAAGACGGTGGATCTGGAGGCCCAGGCGGTCGCCAAATACGGCGGTTCTTCAGGCTCTTCTGCGGAGGGTAAGGGGGAAGAAGGGTGGAAGGAGAAGACGACGAAGCGGCTCCGTGAAACGAGTGGGACGACTCGTGGTGAGGCGGAGATGCCGTTCATGTGTGCTCCGTTGGTGTTTCCGGGGATCGAGCGGGTGGCGCATGAGATGATCGACGGGTATGCGCAGGGCAGGGAGTCCGCCAGCAACGCGGCGCTCAGGTTCAAGGATAAGGCCAAGGGCACGGGCAAGTGGCTTGCCGACTATTTTGACCGTCGCGCGCAGGCCGACTTTGTAAGTTCTGAGGCAGCCGTTGCTTTGGTATTCACCCGCCAACTGATACGACGGTCACGTAGGCATTCAACAATCCTAACTCAACACTCGTGAAGGCCATGGGCGATGCAGCCCCACAGTTCAAGTCTAAGTTGAGTGACCCGAATGATCAACGAAACAAACACCTGGCTACCCTCATCACCGGGGGAAAGCTGCGAGCAGAGCCGTGAGTTTTTATCTCGACAGTGTTCATGTAGTTCAAGTGATCTCATCTGATTCTGACAGGCAGTCTTGAAAGAAAGATTGTGAATGCTTTGTCTTTTCACTTGCGTACGCTTCAAATACTCCCCGGAAGACAATACACCCACTCCCTCTTCTAAATTCGATGTTCGTTGGTTGTTCGATCAGTGGTGAATGTTCTAGGATTCCGATGGTATATATCTTCCCTGTCAAGCTCAAGTACAACTTGCCAATAATGTCATATCTATCCCTAAGCCTAGCGACTGAGTGGTTTATCTGTCCCTGAAGATTTCTGAAGCTTTCCGAACTCCTAGCCAACACCAAGTTATCTCTTTGAGTTGGAATTGGAAACTGTCAGCAAGGCTGCCATGGAAGGTTGTGGATACGTTCCAGGGTCTAGAAGTAGTTTGGCGCGCTTAACACAAAATGCGGTCTATTCAGTACTGGTAAAGCAAGAACCTGAAAGATATTCCAAGTCATTTAGACTATTCCAATTAGTATACATTTCTATTTTAGCACTAGGAAGTCACGTGTAAAGTATGCCGACATCAAAGCGGGAAACCTGAACCTGCCATGGCAGCTTTGCTGACAGACTCTAAGTTATTGATGCACTTGATTTGGGAGTCGGGTCGAGCCGCCCAGCCGACGATAAGCCGAGACGCGCTAGACGCCGCCAATGCTCTTTCTGTTGGCATTGAAAGTACGCAGCACAGGGTACGAAATCCGACATGATTGACCTCGTAGCCATGGCAGCATGACTACAATGACACGTCTCCGAGTAGATATTGGCTCAACACCAAGATTGCTGGTTGCTGCTCCGTAGATATCACGGTCTTGGCGGCCGCAATGAGCGTCTCGGATCTCCGGCGGAATCCGGAGGGCATCATTCCTGCACCAGTTCATATGATTTTCGGTCAATTTCTGACTCATCGAGTCCTCCCTTGCTTGGATTCATAAGGCGCGACTGGTGCAAGCTAACTTACTGTTATTAGCACTAGAGCAGCACGTCATATCGAGGACGATAAGCGCATTTGGCACAACAAAACCCCAGCCGATCGCTGACACTCTTCTTCCCCCAACAACCACCCACTCTGTCCTTTTTCAGACACAGTGATAAGCATAAATTTCCCATCAATTGAAGAGCAGCATCCCAATGGGCCAACCGGCTGAAATTGGTCGGTCTCCACCGCCGCCCAGCTCCAGACGACGGGGCGTGTATCTCATCCCCGCAGTGATCATCTTCCTGTGGACCCAATTCGCCCTCTTCCCTCGACTGCTATCCTCGGACCACCCGGCAACGCAAAAGCTGTCGCAGCACCGTCTGGAGCAATTAGAACATCATCTTCAAGCATGTTCTGCGTTGCACCGCCCGCCCGTTGAATACGAGCAGCCGACGGGGCTCAATCGAGGCAACCCACGTTGGAGCGCCAAGACGGGGCAGAGCCAAGCGGTTGTTCTGCGCAACGCGACCCTCTTCGATGGCGACCACACCCTCGACCACCCCGTCGACATCACCTTCCACAGAGGTATCATCACACACATCATTCCTACGGCTCAACATGACTCAATCCCCGAAGACCATGAGGCCCTCGTCCTCGACCTCGAAGGCCGATTCGTCACCCCGGGACTGGTGGACATGCACTCGCACCACATCGCAGGCTCCAGCCCGGACGTTCGCGCCGTCGAAGATGTCAACGAGGTACACCCGGATTTCGGCCCGCTGACCCCCTACGTAAGGGCCCTGGATGCCTTGAAAGCCTACGACCCGGTCGCTGCGATCGTCGCCTCCGGTGGCGTCACCTCGTCGCTGATTCTGCCTGGCTCCGCCAACATCATGGGCGGCGAGGCTGTGCCCGTGAAGAACGTCCGGCGTGACGAGGCCGGGGAGGAGCTGGTGGAAGAGCTCCTGCTTGAGCATGGCGTGCCCAAGGAGGAACGGCGGCGGTACATGAAGATGGCCTGTGGCGAGAACCCCAAGGACGTCTACGGCCACACGCGCATGGGGAACGCGTTCCTGTTCCGCAAGCAGATGGACAGTGCGCGACAGCTTCTTGTCAAGCAGGATGACTGGTGTCTGGCCGCCGCGGCGGCCTATGAGACGGGCGATGAGCGGGCGATCGCGGACCTCGTGAAGGACGGAGGCTTGCCGACCGATATCGCGTTGGAGTCCTCAGTCGCGATGCTGCGCGGGCAGGTGGGCATTAACATTCATTGTTACGAGAGTGAGGACATTGAGGCCATGATTCGCCACAGTGAAGAGTTTGGGTTCCGTATCCAGGCTTTCCATCACGCGCTGGAAGCCTGGAGGGTTCCAGACACGATCAAGAACAGTGGCCAGTAGGTGAACCGTGTTCTTCATGACTGAACGTTGTGGCTGAACTGTAGCAGGAACATCACCGTCGCCACATTTTCGCACTTTGCGCATTACAAGCACGAAGCATACGATGCTACCCTCTATGCGGGCAAGATTCTAACTGAACATGGGGTCCCGGTGGCCTATAAGTCGGTAAGATAGGACACTTTACGGAGTTGAGACTTTTCAATGGCTCATCGAATTCGTCAGGACGGCTCGAATGAGTTTCTCAACGCAAAGTATCTCCTGTAAGTCGATGCAACTATGCCACACCTACTCGAGGCTGACCTGCAGCAGATCCCAAGCCGCAGAAGCGCACTCCTTCGGCCTCCCCGAGGCTCAGGCCCTGCAGTCTGTGACGAGTATCCCCGCCCGGTCCCTGGAGCAGGCCCACCGCATCGGCTACGCCCGACCGGGCTACGATGCTGATCTGGTCATCTGGGACTCGCACCCACTCGCCAACGGCGCCACGCCTCTACAAGTCTACATTGATGGACGCGCCACTCTCAACACGACCATTGACCAGGCCAAATTCATCCAAACTACACTGTCTGCCCCCTCAAGCCGCCCACAGCCGATCCTCAGCAAGAGAACCTCAGTGTGCGACCAAGCCTCCCGTGCAGACGCCAACCTCATCATCACGGGCATCACCAAAGCCATAATCCCCGACCTTCATCCGCAGTCCAACGCGGACAACCTCACCCTCGTCCTCTCCGCCGGTCGCATTGCCTGCCTCGGCCCCGCAAGCGAGTGTCTCGCCTCCGCCGCCGCCGACAGCACAGCAATCCACCTCCAAAACGGCCACATCCTCCCCGGCCTGACCGCCGTAACCACCGGCCTAGGCCTCCAGGACATCATCATGGAGCCCTCCACGGGCGACGGTATTGTGTCAGGGTCAACACCCAAGACCATCATCTACGCGAAACACGGCCTCCACCCGGGGGGGAGCAAGGACCTCGCACGCGCGAGACTGGGGGGCATCACGACCGCCATCACCGCCCCGCTCGTGACGGCCGACGTCCCCGTCTTCCTGCGCGGAGTCTCCGTCGCCTTCAAAGTGAATCCCCGCTCGACCAACACCTTAGCAGATGAAACCAGCACCAGCGAGTCAGAAACCCTCCTCGACCGCGCAATCCTCCAGCCAGACGTAGGCCTGCACATCCACATCGGCCAAACCGGCAAGACCGCAAGCACCCCCACCATCTCCTCGCAGATCGGCCTCCTCCGCCGCTTGCTCGCGGGAAGTCACCACCCCTCCTCCTCCTCGACTGAACACCACCCCCAAGACACAGAAGTGTACATCCAGGTCGCGAACGGCACCCTCCCGCTAATCATCCACGTCCTCAACCACCACGACATCCTGCACCTGGTGCAGCTGAAACGCGACTTCCCGGCCACCGACCTCATCCTCTTCGGCGCGACCGAGGCGCCGCTCGTCGCGCGCGAGCTGGCCGCCGCCCGCATCCCGGTGCTGTTCACGGGCCTCCGTCCGAACCCGGATACGTGGGAGGTGAAGGACGCGGTGGTGGGCGATCCGCTGACACAGGCGGGGTTGAAGGTGCTGCTCGAGGCTGGGGTGAAGGTGGGGTTGGCGCAGGCCGGGTGGAGTGATTCCGGGATCCATACTCTCGGGGTCGATGCCGGGTTCGCGGCCAAGGTGGCCGGGCTGTCGGAGCAGAGGGCGGTGGATTTGGTGAGTCGGGAGGTGCGCGAGATTTTGCGTTTGGATGGGGGCAGTCGTGCGGGTGTTGAGGGGGGTGGGGGTGGTTATGGAGGGGATTTTGTGGTGTATGAGGGGAATCCGTTGGAGTGGGGGGCGAGTGTGGTTTTGGCGGTCGATGGGGAGAGGAGTGCTGTTGTCGAGTGTTGGCCGGAGGCTTCTTAGGGTGGTTGGATTTTTTGACGGCCTGATATAGGGCATAAACTCTGGTTATTATTACTCACTGTAACGACGATATCTGTCTAGCATAAGCTAGTAACGGCCGTTGAGTGCTGCTTCCCAAACTATTGCCGACTCCTGCATTGTGAAAACAAAGTCTAAAATCAATACTATACAATTCGAAGTGAAGCTGAGTCCCATAACTAAGTAAAATATCTCCAAGCCTATTTCCAACCCCATTTTAAAAAAGAAACCCCATAGACAAAGCACCTACGCCGGCACCGTGGTGATGGTGGTCGTATACGAGGTGGCGGTCATGGTACACAGCCGCTCGCACTCGAGCTGGGCGTTCTCAAAGACCTGCCGCTGGCACGCGGCATGGGCGCGGGGCAGACCGGGACACGAGGCCATGCCGAACGAGATGATGTCGGAGACGCACGAGTAGTAGTCGCCGCCCTCGCACAGATTGCTCAGCACCGAGGTGGCGATCGTCGCCGTCTGCGTGACCGTCACCGACTTCTCGGTGGTGCTGGAGCCGGCGCAGAAGGTGAAGTCGTAGCCCGCGTAGTTGGTGGTCGTGGAGGACTCGCAGGCGATGACGTCGCCCCAGAAGTCGGTCGAGGTGAAGGGATAAGGGTTGTTGTTCTTGGTGGTGGGTGGCGCGGTGGTGGAGGTGCTGGAGGGGAGGGTCGTGTAGCCACAGAGACCTGCGGAGCCCCCGAGGGTCGGCAGGTACCCGTCGTAGCCCGGGCACACGCAGTTGGTGTCGGAGCTGCCGGAGTCCGGGTCTTGGTGCGGCGTGCAGCCTAGGGTTGGGGAGCTGTTGGCTCCGGTGGTCGTGGCGGTCGTGGTGCTGGGCTGTCCGGCTGTGGCCGTGGGCCCCGTCGTGGTCGTCGCTGCCCCGGGAGCGGCTGTGGCTGTTCCGTAGGCGCTGTAGATGGACCATGCGGCGTCCCAGTCGGCGGTGTAGATGTCGTCGTTGTAGTCGTCCCACGGCTCGACGCCTCCGAGGAGCACGGGGGCGGCCGAGTAGATGTCCGAGGTTGTGGTGGCGGTGGTGTCGCAGCCGACCACATCTGCTATCGTTAGTCGGTGAAGCCATGACATAGATCACAGTATTCGGCTTACCCTTGCACGAGGTAGAGCAGGAGCTCGTAGAGGCCTGGGTCACACAGGCCACGTTGCAGGAGCTGTAGGTCGAGGTCTCGCATTCCTCGTCCTCGTCGCCCGGAGTGCCGGTGGGCACAGGTTTCGGTCTGTTAGGGTCATTGCCGTTTTTGTTCGGCGCTGCAGATTGTCAGTTAGTCATGCGAAAAGGGCATCGTACAAAGCTTTCAACAAACAATGATACGTACATTTACCTCCTCCGCAGTTAGTCCAGCAATGCTCACAAACATTGAAGATGGCGTTCAAGCCTCCCAAGATCCCCTCATGGCAACTCTCACCACACACGGCCCTGTTGGTACATTTGGGTTTGGGTTCGCCACGGTGGTGCGTGACGTGGTGCGTGCCTCCGGGGGGGATGATTATCCCAACAGCCGTGGTTGTGGACGAGGTCGTTGTCTTTGTTGGCTCGGTCGCTGAAGTGGGCACGTCCGATGGGACGGTCGTGCCGGGCCAGGGAGGGGGGTAGAAGGGTACCACGGTGCTTGAGTAGATGCTTCCGTTGTAGGTCATTGCCGGCCAGGTGATGTTGAATGCGGTCTGGATGATGCTGGGCTCCGGTGTGATGACGGTGGAAGTTGTGCCGTTACCGATCGGGACGTTATAGAAGGGCACGATAGACGTCACCACATCCGGGATGGTGATTGTGGAAGTGGTCGTGGACATGATATATGAGGTGGTTGTGCTGATGGTCCCGTTGTATGTAAAGGTATACGGCACCTGATATCCAACACCGATCTCGGTTGTCAGGGTCGGATAGACAAAGGTCGTGGCCGAAGACAAAGTGGTGGGCGGCAGCACGTAGGTGCACGGAGGATAGCACTGGACAATAGTGTCATTGTCTGGCTCGGTCCAGATAATGGGGTCAATGTAGACAATGCCCGAATCGTTGCCGTTGGACCCGATATCTGAGCCGCCGGTGGAGAGTGCCAGCCACGCGGCAATCTCGCTGGTGAAGCCGTTGCGCGTCGTGTCGTTGAACATCAGCGGAGCAAGGCTGCCGTCTGGGCTTACGATTTGCTCGTTACCCTTGGTGAACAGGTTGTAGATGTACAGTCCATCGGCGTAGTTGGTCTCGACAAGGGCCAGCTGGCAGGTCTCCGTGTCGATGCAGCCCTCGTCATAGTCCTGAAAGAAGGAATAGAAGCCGGCCGAGTAAATCAGTACATCAGTCGAGTTGATCACCCGCAGAGCCCAGGCCCCTCTGCAGGAAGAGTCGTCTTCGTCGCAGTTGTCATAGGTTGGATCCGAGGCAAAGTTACCCACCCCGGCCGTGTATGGCCCTGTGGCGTCGGGCGAGGGCTGGTAGTAGGGAGTCTCGGTCTGCATGTGTCCCAAGTAGACGTTGGCCGCATTGGCCAGCTGGTACTGGTACATCTGCGCGTGCTCACTGGCGGTGCCATACAGCCAGGTCGGGCCCTGGGATTCGATCAAGAACCCACGACCCACGTAGACGGAAACATCAGTCTGCACATTCAACGGGATTCCGGCAGTGCTCTCGGATGCAGCCGCGTTCAACTTGCTGTCGAGATCGTGATCAGCCACCCAGCCCCAGACATTCTCAAAATAGCCGGAAGCAGACGAGGTGACGTGCATCAGGAGAGCAGCTCCCATGCAGTCCTTGCTCACTCCGGCTCCGGTGGGGCAGTTATCCAGCCCCAAGTCACTGGCAGTGGTACCTCCGACGCGGAAGTGGCTGTCCCACATGGCAGCGCTACCCTGAGTGCTTTCGTGGACGTTCCATTCCACCAAGACAGCACCAGCAGTAGGACCCTTGACCGTGAAAAGCATATCCGTGATCTCGATGACACCCTCATCACCTGCCTCGCCAACCTGGACCATGACCTTGGGGCTCTCCTCGTCTTCGAAGGCAGAACCCGTGCCCATGATTTGACTCCATCCAGATCCAATGATCTTACTTCCAACCGGCACCTTGACGGTATCTTCCACAAGATATACACCAGCAGGGAAGTACACCACGGAGCCCACATTGCTCGCTAGGAGACTGTTGATCGCAGCAGTCTGATCACCGGTGCCATCATTGGAGATTCCATTGCTGGTCGCGACGACCGGAGTCTCGCTCTCATACTGCGGCTTGGCCCGGCGATAATAAGCCCCCGAGCTGTCGAGGAGGACCTCCGGTTTCTCCGGCGCGGGATCAAGGAAGCCGGTCTGCTTGCCACCGGAGCCATCAGGCAGGTAGCGGTAGCCCATGGACCAGGAGTTGAAGTACAAGGCGTCGGTGGACCCTTCAAGGATGGTGTCGCCTCCGCTGATCATGACCACCGCAGCGGAGTTCTCGACCAGCAGATTGTCCAGCACGATATGGGGCTGCCAGCCATCCTTCTGTGCCACCGTAATGCCGTAGGGCACGCCGTTGAAGTGAGAGTCAACGACCGAGATCGACCCGGTTCCCTGGTCGCCTGTCCCCGAGTACTCGGTAGCATCGATGGCGATGTAGCACGACAACACGTAGATGTTCTTCCAGTTGATTCCCCAGTTCCAGACAGACTTGATCGCCGTCAGGCAGGAGGTGAACTGCAGGTTGATGGCGGTGAATTGCTGCGAGCCCGCGAGGAATCCGATGTTTCTGAATAGTTCCTCCGTGTTAGCAGAGTATGAGAAAAGCAAAGAATTATGCAGCACACTCACCCTCCCGTAAATGTCAAATCCGAGACCATTCCTCCACTGCCATTCTCCATGTAGATCCCCACAGCCGTGGCAGCCTGGCCATCAGCGGAAACGGCCATCTTGAAGTCACAGTTCGTGATACTGGTGGCCTGGCCGACCTGCCAGTGCACGCCGGCCGGCACGTAGGTCTGGTTGTTGTCGGTGTTGGTCCAGTTCATGCTGGTCATGTCGAAGACAAAGTTGCGGATCTGGCGGTAGAAATTGCTCTGGTTAATGTACCATTCCGAGCCGTTTCCCCCGGGAATGTAGAAGTCCGAGTCAAACAGGGCAATTCCCGTGAAGTTCTCTGATCCCTGGATGACCGGCTTGCTGTTCGGGTTACCGACGAACTGGGTGTAGTAGTACTGCACGATCGGCGTGCTGATGAGATATGTGCCCGCGGGGAAGTAGACCACGGCGCCCAGCGTGGAGGAGGAGCCACAGTCCTCGCCGCAGCGCAGGGTGGAATCATCGGAGGCGCTGAAGGAGGCGACCGCGCGGTTGATGGCCGCCGTGTCGTCGGTGACGCCGTCCCCGACGGCTCCAAAGTCCATAACGTTCCGGAAGAACTGGTACCCGGACGGGGCAAAGGGAGAGGAACCATCGGATCCGAGACTCGACAGCCAGTAGTCGTCAGTCGAGCGACGAGCGTGGTGCATCTTTGCATCGGTCGTGGCATTGAGCGGCGTGAGGACCGGGCCAGTCATTGACCCTTGGTCCGGCGCACTTCCGAAGAAGTTGTTGACATTATCCCGCATGTATGCGGGCGGCGGCTGTTGCATTGGATTAGTCTTGCGTCCTTCTTTCTCGCGGTAGCAGCAGGCAACCTACTTGAGGTGATCCGGGAGGCAAGGGCGGGCTGGTTCCCACCGGCCTGCGCGGAATCGAGACGGTCGTCGCAGGCCCTCCTCCCATTGTAAAAGCGTGACTAGAGGCAGCCAGATGTGACGACTGTTGTCGCTCGTGGCGCTGATGGAAGTGCCCATGGCTATTATGCGTGTGCGCAGAGGCCGATGTAACACATTGCGCTCCGAGCCACAGCAGGCCCAAACTGGGAAATGACACCATGGTGCCTGTGCGGAGGTGATTCGCAGTGACTACCCATGATGATCGAGGGAAAGGGTGTCAATAAATGCGACAACAAAGATGGTGGTTCTTGGTTCGTCCCCTGTGCGATACAAGTCAGGGGGAGAGGGTCCGAACAGTCCTGAAGTGTGCTTCCTGCATACAAGCCTTGAGAGGCTGCATCCGATGAGATGCAGCAACACTCGGCTCGTGCAAAAACTCAGTAAGTAGGATTCATTAGTGGAAAGAGTGGATCAACAGCAATCACACAGGGAATCCTTCTTCGGACATGGCCTCCTTTGGGAAAGGTTAGGTGACAGTGGGGGAGCATTCTGGCCCAACTCATTTCCCTTATCAGAGCCGCATCGAACCCTGAAGGGCATCCAGACGAGCGGTCCCTGCATGACTCGGGCCAAATCAGACCATGTGGAAGTCCCTGGCCCACTTTTGATTGCAATAAAGGGACAATTTGGGGGCCAAAGAGATGATTTTGGCATAGCGTATTGCACGGGGTGGAGACCGGCTAAATCTTTAGTACCGGACAGCCTCGGACATAAGCCGACTTGATGTATACAACACTGCCTGCAGGATGAGGCTATTCAAATCCAATCCTGCCATGCAAAACCAAATCAACGGCTAGCTCAGGGGCAGGGGATTCAGGGCACTAGCTTGGGGTCTGTGAGATTTCGCTCATGTGTAATGTCCAAGAAAAGGGGGAAGACGCTGAGGTACCTGATAGAGACACACGGTCGACGATGCACTAGTCAAATAGAATATGATTACCCCAACTGCCTGAATCTTATCCAACTGCATAGTCCGAATACATGCCCTCAGGATGGTGCGGCTGCGTCAAGTCTTCTCTCCTGCGTTTCTCGTCGCGGCGCTTGCTGCCAGTTCCTGGTGGCAGCCTGCGGTCGCTGCGGATGGCGATCTCGCGAAGCTCAGCAAACTGTTCAAATATAGTACGGATCCCGGCGCAGCTGATGTCGGAGGTTTGCCCTCCGACACGGACCTGCAGACTCTCTTGACCGATGCGCTCACGCTCGCCAACGCCGGGGTGGCCGCTGCGACGGATGCCCTCGCCGGCAAGGCGGAGGCAGAGCGACTGATGAACTCCCTGTTCATGTCCCCCAGCGAGTCGGACCTTCAAACCATCCAGAAGCGCTTCAATGGCGTGGTGACCTATCTCACCAGTGGCGGGAAGATCAACAACGGCGCTCAGAAGACGAAGCCGTTTCTGCTGTACGGCGACGGGTGGCGCATCCGGCAGGATATGAAGAGCGAGCTGCGCAACGCCGACGGAGAGACCATCCCCAAGGCTGATGGATCGGGCAATGTGCTCATTGAGGATGATTCGTTGATGGTGCAGAAGCAGCAGCAGGCGAAGACCATCGCAGAGAAGGACGCCGTTGCGCAGGGCAAGTCCGCGAGCGAGGCCGAGGACCAGTATCCCTACTGGAGCGACTCAATCCAGTCCTACACCTTCGACAAGAAATGGGGCGATTCCCCCACCGTCGGCGTCTTTGACTCAGGCTCCTCGGCCATTGCCTTCACCCTCATGGATACCGACAAGGCGCTCATCAACCTCGGTCCCAAGGCCCTACAGGGCGGCCGCCTGCACGCGGTTGACGTGACCGCCGTCGCCAACAGTTTGTTTGAGGACCACACGCCTCCCACCGGAAGCACCATTACCTCGATCGCCGAGGTAGCCCCCCAAGCCACCGCCATATTTCACGAGCTGTTCCACCTGGTCTGGGGCGACAGTCTCATGTACCCCTCCGTTGGAGAGGAGTACCAGTTTCAACGGATGACGGGCTACGAGAGCCGAGGCAGTGGGAAGAAAGCGTTCACCAAGAGATACGCCATGCGGAACCCGCAAAGCTATGCCTATGCTGCGTATGTGCTCCACTTCCAGGCCACGGAAATGCAGGCTAACATGAAGAATGAATAGGATTGCCTACGATTACACGCAAAATGTGCAGTACAAGATTTCCAACAAGAAGTCGGCCCCTGTTGAGTTCTTCACGGGTTTCGCTTCCTACGAGAAGAGCTAGGGTGGAGTGTGTTTTGGGGAATTTGATAGAGTGTATGATTATTCTGAAGAGCTTGCTCGGATGATAGATAGTGTTTAGTCGAATGATAAGGTCGCTTCGACCCTCAATACTCCGTGTCCCCACAGAAAGGAACCTTTGCCTTGTGCTGCTGTACCTCCTCCTCGCTTAACAAGGCATACCACCGCCGGTAATAATCGCATGGATCGCCCAGTGGCGACCACAGTCCCATCGCCGTGATTCTCTGCTCCTCCCACAAGACTAACCCGTATGGCAGATAGGCTCGCAGGGCCATGTACTTGCCGCGACCAGCCAGGGGGTTGTGCATCATACTGCGCCAGAACTGAAATCCGAGAGGCTCCGCATCTAGATCTTGCCACTCGCGTCCGGGGGCTCGTACACCGTAATCTCGTACCGGTCGAAAGACGTAGCCTGGCGGCCAGGGACGGCATGCATCCTCAGGGGGAGGCGCGGAGGGGGCCGCAGCCTCGGCTATCTCAGTCGCTAGTGCTTTCTCCCCTTCCTCGTCTAATTTGCCCTCCAGCTGGAGAGCTCCTTCGTCCGGCTCGGTAGCAGCACTCAACCCATCCGCTTCTTGCGCCAAAGCGCTGGCATAGGGCGCAGGGGCACACGCCCATCCGAACCGGAATTGTGCCGGGATGTCCGGGAGCAGCAGATTGGTGCCTGTGTCGGATCCAGCCGCAGCGTGGCGGCTCAAGAAGTCGATGACTATCAAGACCTGGTAGATACCCGAGGAGGGGATGGGGTATTCCCAGGGGGTGACTGTGGCCAAGCGGTCGAGGTCGGCGGGGCTCCACTCCAGCAATCCTTGGCGGCCCGCAAGCCGGAGGCTCTGGTACCACACATGCCGCCAAAACGCGAGAATCGTGCGCTGCTCCTCCGTCCACGTGGGCTGCCGGAATGTCGGGCAATATTGGCGTCGTGAGAGCTGTGGACGGGAGAGACAGTGCTGGAGACAAGTATCGAGACTCCAATGCGCGAGCAAATGGACCTGGTGTGCGAGCCGCACGAAATCCCGGACGATGTCCGCGGTGGCGACCACTGGCGGCCAGGGCTCGAATTTGTCCGCCAGGCAATCCATCGCGTCGAAATAGCCCCGGCATGAACTGGTTCCGGCGCGCAGGGACAGCACCGCCCGCATGAGAATTCGCGATTGCAACGGGACGGTGGCCTCGAGCACGGCCTCGACGGTCTCCAGCGCCCGAGCCTGGAATAGTGCGGCAAAGCGTGCAGAGGTGTTGACGAGGCTCCACAGGGTGGAGATATCCGGAGATTGCTCCAGAATCTTTAGAAGTATTTCATTGGGTAGGCTGTCTAAGCCTGATGGCTTTGAAGGAGAGGACATGATTTGCTTGATGATGAGGGAAAGAAAGGAGGCGCAAGTGAGCGTTGATTGTTTATTTTATCTCGGCGCTATCAGGCGATGGTTGGAGGATTGTGGGGACTCCGGCCAGTCAAATGTGGTTGGGTTTAAGCTTTGCCCAAGAAGGCCAAGCTGCGTGGAGGCGTTGAGAAAATGTTCTTGACTATCCCCACCGACTATCGATTTTTTTTTTTTGATTTTATTTTCAGGGTTCATTGATAAGTCGATGTACTGATTGACTCCTTCAGGGTTTGTCAATTCCAAATTGCCTCGTGCCGGTCCGGGCGGTGAGCTGAGCATCGCTCCTCCTTCCTATTCCAGCCCTAGCTCACCTGCTAAACAATCAGGTTAGTCCATGATCCATCACAAATCATGCATTCGATCAATAGCTTCGTATTCTCTCGGCTATTCACAAGTCATCAATCCTGCGACTACATCCTTCACCAATCAAGCGATTGCAGACTGAGACATTTCAGCCTCAAGGGATTCTGTATAGATAACTTGCCTGTGCCAAGACCGGCGGCGTTGGAGGCCGTTTATTCCTGCAGAGTCCGACAGAGCCTTGCCTTTCCCTCGTAATGGGACTATGAGCTCTTAGCGCGAGTATCAGACGAGATGCTTCCACCTTTCAAACCATGATTGAGGCCTCCTACGACCACTATATAAGCCGGATGGCTTCCTTGTCTCGTCGACTCTCCTCATCACCATCCTCATCATTCCCAAGATTCAACAAGATGCAGCTTCCTACTCTCCTCCTCACTCTCCTCAGCGCCACCGCCGTCATGGCCCTCCCCTCGGCGGAGACCAGCAACGCAGACCTTGCCGCCCGCGGTGACAGCGGGTGCTTCCCTTTGTACGCAGACTTCTATCCGGCCTGGCAGCTCCTATGCCTTGTACTGACTTGCCTTGTCATAGTTCTGATCCCGATTGCGGCATCCCCACCTCCTACTGCCGCTGTGCCAATGGTAAGTCTCAATTGCTTGAATGACTGGGATTTCTTGCTAATCAAGACAAAGGATGGTACTACCTCTTCAACTCGGACGAGGGTGGCTGCAACCCTCCCTGGGGCTTCGTGGCCACTGATATCAGCGGCGTGCCTGGCTGGTACTGTTAAGAGCTCGACTATTGAAAGGCCGGGCTTGTTGACTTGAAACTGAAAGTTCCGGGAGGCTTTGAGCGAGAGAATTTGCGTTAGGAATGTCCTGCTTTGCTTATACCGGTCGGCGACCGATGACGTTTATGTTGTTATACCAGCGTTGGCCTAACACATCCAAGGCCACCTTGCGTGATACACCTTTATGAGGAGTTGCCCGCAGTCCTAGGGCAGCTTCATGCTACTTGCAAAATGAGATGGACTATACAAAGCAGTCTACATGTAATTCAAACACGGCTGTATTTAAGCCACCCCGAGGACCTGCCTCGCCCGGAAGCGACATGTATCTCGACCGAGAGATCGTTGTAGATAATTACCCGCCCATCAACCCGTGCATAATCGATCTTTGCTTGACATGCTTGCTGTCTTTTGTTTTTCTACTGCGTGAATCTGTCTATTGCGAGTGATTGCCCGCCAAGAGCTAGGTTTCCATGCGAAGCTCAGAACGAATGCATCTCCCTTATGTTAAAGGCAAATCTAAGAGAAGTAGAAACGAGAGGTATTGAAATAATAAGCCAATTCCCGATTTTCGCAAGTGATCTACGTTGATCATGTAGCTAGATCCAGTGCACCGTATCCCAGCCAATGCTGGCACGACAACGAGCTAAGCATCGGGCACTTGATTGCAACAAGAACTTCACATCCATCGCCATGACACTAGCACAACTTGATAAAGAAATCCCTAATCAAGATGTTAATTAATCTTCTATCCCATTCTCCAGAACCCCTACCGGACGGGGAGAACGAGTAGCGCGGGAACTTTACAAGTAGCGCAAAGTCGCATTACAATAGTAGGCTTATTTGTTTATGTATAATGTCAGCATCCATGTACTGTACATGAAAATGATCAAGACTAGGTCTACAACAATGAGAAAGGAATGCCTGAAAATCCCATAGCTCACTGAACATCCACCAGATCATACACCTTCAACCTTCTGCTCCTGTTCAGAATCTCCAGGAACTGCCGCTCCCGGAATAACGAAGTCTCGCTCGAGCATGGCAGACCAAGCAAAGGCCACGGCAATAGTCAGAGCAATCATCTCTTCCAGCACAGACATGCACAACGAGAGTGTGAGACTGCTGTCGGTAGGGTTGCTGCTGAGGGAGGACTGGAAGATCTCATAATGGCCCAGGTCGGCGATCGCCGCAAAGATTAAACGCACGGTATAAAAGGGAGCAGACAGACCGATTCCGATGAACAGCTTTTTCTGGAATCGTTTCAGGGTGCCTTTTGTCTCATTGAACAGCCAAGCAGTGGCTACCAGGATGGCGGCAAAGACGATGAGAAAGATGATCATGGCTGCCTTGAGGAGTGCATTGATGCTGCCGGACTTTTCTGTCTTATCCACCCCCACGATCGCGAGGATGAGGGCGATCAATGATATAAGGGACAAGGACTGCAGGGGTTTGGGAGGGATTCGGTATCCCACATCACTAGAGAAACGCCCAACTGTTAGCATGTCTGCCTATCCGAGTGGGAGCCAGAGTCTCTGACTCACATTTGTTGCAACAGCCCCATATACATCAGGGACTGGGGCGCGATACCGATCAAATTGCATACTGTTGCGGCAGTTCTTAGATTGGTCGAGGTGAAACTGAGCTGGGCCAGTGTGCATATGCTGCCGACCACACGGAGCAAAGATAGGATGACAGCAAAGCGCCAGGTGTGACCACCGGCTCTCCATCCTGTTTGTTTCCAGATGTAGATGGAACACGCGAGAAGAAGTGGGAACACGATCAACTGAAGGATTGAAATGCCATCGGAATAGGTTACGTGTGCCATTGTCGCAGCGGCTGTGATTTAGGTAGAAAAAAGGCGAGGAATTGTGTAGGATGCAGGTCCTAGGCAATTTGTTGTACACCACCTTTACAACCGGCATATAGTCCTATTTATAAACTTCCGGGTGTTTTTCTCCCATACCTGGGTGCCTCATCTTCGTCTCGGGGCATTTCCTGCCCGTCGATCTTGCGCATCAAATGTAGTACAATTGTCCCTGTCAACAAACAACTCTCTTGAAAGAGACTAGTCGTGGCTCAACCCAGCCGCTCCAGACAAAACTATTCTGTTCGTTTTTTGGTTTCAGCTCTGGGGATACGGAGTTGACATTAGTGAGTTTTAGTACAACCGAGCGCGTTAATTTCAATCCAGTAGCCGGCTTGGAGCTTGAGGGCTACAATTTGTCTTTGGCATGACACCAGCGTTAGATCGGGGTTTCCAGGTTCATCATGTACCTAGGTAGTAATGTAGTAAATAGTTCTTGGCCACGTAATCGATGAAAATAGTGCAGACCGACGGGGCTAGTAGTCAGGGCCCATATCCCCTCCCAGCCAATCACACCATGCAACACTGCCAAAACGCGGTCGGGGGCGAGGATGGTGATTCTCGCTAAAACATAGCCCGGTACTACTAGGTAGGTAGTAGCCAGTGGACTGCCTGTTTTTGATGAGGACATATATATGATACTGTTCCACTCGCTTAAACTCGTTTGATGGATAGATATTGCTTGTTCCGAACCAGCTACCTAAAACAGACTAGGCTAGAGTAGGAGCTCCGTCCTTCTCAGCCCTCGATTGCAGGTTGATGAAAATTGATGGATGAGAAGTCAAGCACTGCCGGATGGTGACTCCCTACTAGCTCACCAGTAGTCCCCTCACCCCCTCAAAGCCTAAAGGTCATCAAAGTAGTAGCAGTTCCAGTCCGAGCTGGTTACCTGGGATGGTCTAGTGTGCGAGGCTTAGTATTCTGCGGGGTAGTTGTTTATCTCCACCGTGGGCACTTTGGTTGGTTGCCGTCCATGACTTTTGGCCCGCATGTGGGACCAACAGGCAAGCACTTGCAAATTCTTGTGGGCCGGATTTGATCAAGCCTTGTATTATAACAGCAACAGTCCTCCTTCTCGTGATGCATCCGAAAGCCACTTCAAGGTTCTGCGAACTCGTTTCCCTTTTTGGGATGACAGCACCATGGCCGGAGTATACAGAGGCAAAATCAGTATGGGGTGTGTCTTGTGCCGAAAGCGACGGCTGCGAGTGAGTGGGCACGTTCCAGACATTATACAACGAGAAAATGGCCAACAGTATGCAGTGCGACCGACGTCAGCCGTCATGCTCACAGTGCCTGCGAGTGAATCAAGAATGTTTTGGATATCGAGATCCCGGGACCTTGAGGATCTACGATCAGAGCGCGGAAGTTGCGTCCAAGGCTCAGGCCCGTGGTGGTCCCATCCAACAGTCGCCTGCGGAAGAGTCGCCGTCTACACTCTCCCTAAACTATTCCCCCATCTCCGATGACCAGCGAGCCATGTCTTATATCATCCCATACTATGTTGGCACGGACCAGCATCGGGGCTTACTTCGATTTCTGCCAAGCCTGTTGCAGAATGACCCCTCTCCTGCCTTGAAAGCCTCCGCCAAGGCTATAGGTCTGTTAGGCATGACGAGGATGCCACATGTGGGACAGCGAGCCAGGAAAGAACACATCATTGCCTTGCGTGCTACAAATAGTGCTTTAAGAGATCCGACAACAGCAACCTCGGATTCCACCCTGGGTGCCGTGTTGTTGCTGGGCTTGTATGAGGTGATACGCCCCATTACGAGCTGCAACCCTTTCGTCCAAGCAACATACACTGATCCATTCTCTTCAGCTGATCACATCACGACCCACGGAGATGGACAGTGGCTGGAGGGACCATGCTCAAGGAGCAGCCAAGCTCATAGAACTGCGAGGTGAAGAGCAGTTGAGCTCGCCGGTTGGGCTAGAGTTATTCACCGTTGTGCGTTTTCAGAATGTGAGTACTTCCCTCGATGGGAGGGTTATACTCGTGCCTAATGCGGGACTGGCAGGTAATCAGCAGTGTTTTTTTCAGACTGGGGTCCCGGGTTCACAATTCACCCACGATTGCAGCCCTGTCTCAAGTCGCGAGATCCAAACGAAATGAACATACCCGGCCGATTGAAACCCTCTACAATATGCTCATCGAGCTGAACGATATAGCAATCGAAGTTGACGAGGCCCACCTCCAAAGTGATCTCGAGAAGCAACAGTCGTTGATCGAAAGATCTCTGACCCTTGATGCGCGTCTACTGGCGTGGACGACATCGCTGAGCCCAGCGTGGTCTTATCGGGTTATCGATGACCCGCGCTCCCATTTGCCCAAATCCACCTATCCGCCGATCTATGATAACCGATATCACCTTTACCACGGGGTCTCCATCGCCACAATGTGGAATAACTATCGCCAGACGCGCATCGTTCTCAATGAGATGGTTAGGATGATGGCCCTGCGCCGCTGGCGGTTACAAAATCTTCCACAGTATCAACAAATCATATATCAGTCTACTGGCATCATTGAGCACATGGCAGGTGAGATCTGTGACAGTATTCCATTCTACTTCATCTCCGGCGAAGTAGGCTTTGGAAGCATATACCGGGCGCTGTGGCCGCTTTTCATCGCAGGCCGATGCGCAGCAGCAGAATCTCCGGCGAAACAATGGGCGACGCAAATTCTCGACCTCATTGGAAACATCACGGGTATTCAGCAGGCGATCGGCATGGCGGAGCTACTCAAGCAGGAGAAGCCAGCCAGCGTGATTCCGGGAGGCGATCTGGTTACCGAGTCAATCTTCAACCAGGTAGCCAGGTTATCTCTGGGTAATGACTAAGAAACTAGCCTGGAATGTATACGCGGAAGGTGAACAGTAGATATGAAGAACAGTCCTGATCAGCTCTAGCTGGGATACGTAGCGCCAAAGCATTACTGCTCCAATCGGTCTCGCCACGTCAGTCGTTAGAACACAGCGGGACACATGGCTCTGGCAAGTAGCAGAATCAAAGCAATGGCTTATTGCAAGAGAGACACCTGTAGCGCAGGCCAGAGTTCTTGCTCACCTGGCATAAAGGTTCGTCGTTGACTGAAAGATTGCCAAGGCGAAGTCCATATCTCAACTGTTTCTAACGCACAATTTCTAATCTATGCAACGCATATGTTTGGTTAGTACGTCGTTACTTTGGAGTCGGCAATAGGAACCATGCTTGCCAGCATCAATGATCCCGCTACTTTTAGAGATGCTTGGCAAGAAAAAAAAAAACTACCCCTTTCGCCCCTCAACTTTTATCCGTGAACTGCTTGCTACAAGTTCTACGTGATGCAGAACGCAGAAATGCTTGGCAAAAACATACAACAGAAGGGATTCGCTGGTGGTCACCCACCCAACTACTAACCTCCCGGCGTGTGGCTTAAGTACGGCTGAGCGGACGGGAAGCCCTGTTTTCCACACCCTGTGGTCGTATGTACTAATCCTTCAATAAGTAGGTCTTATATTTACTAGATAGAAGCAAGATTTTCTCTTATCTGCATCGCTGCTGCAGTTTATCTATCTATTAGGAGGCCAATCACTTTGGCAGGTAGTTGACCAGCTGGTTCTAATAGTCCTGTTATGAATAGGGCATCGATACTCCTGGCATTCATTTGTATCGCGATCATCCCGATTCCCTTTTCATCGGACCGGTATGGGCCGTGAGGACATTTTGACTTTAGGCACATGTCGGATGTTGACAAAGAACACGTCGGATTTGGTTCCTAATCCTGGACGGAGAGTAGACAGGTTCATGGTACATAGATCGGTTGAGTTGGAAGACCCGTCTTCAGAGCTGCGTACAGTGTGATTGGCAGTTTACATGGACAAAAAATTACTTGGTATATGTACTGAGCTTGAAGAAGCTTGTAAAGGGCGACATGGATCGGTATCTTGAATAGTTCGTGGTTGGTTGGTTGATTTGATTGGTTGAACTAGCTGAGATCTCGAGATGGGCAACTCGCTTGATTAATCGCTGGATTACGCGGTTTGGGGAACTTGAGAACATCAACAGGATACCTCGCAGTCTGTGGCAGTATTACGATTGTGCTTACTGGGTTGGCTCATCGTCTCATGTTATAGTGGTTGGGTAAACTGATACAATCGTAGGCGTGCGGTAGGAAACGAGAACTCGGCGAACCCTATCAGCGCAAACCTTGAAGATATATGTTGTTTGACTACCGCGGAAGATCCGGTGTCAAGAATCACGCCAAACATGATGTACTAGTATTGGACCAATTGGACAGGGCATAGACTGCGTACAGATTTCCAAACTTCTCGATCATATGGGAGTCTATATAACGAAGTCATCTCTTGTTGCTTTTCAAGATTTTCTTCTTGTCGAAGAAGAGGAGAAGAAGAAAGTATTCTCATGGCATCATCAAAGTTGTCTTAACTATATGGATCAAGCAGAAGAGAATACAAGCACATACGACCACAGGGTGTGGAAAACAGGGCTTCCCGTCCGCTCAGCCGTACTTAAGCCACACGCCGGGAGGTTAGTAGTTGGGTGGGTGACCACCAGCGAATCCCTTCTGTTGTATGTTTTTTTGGTATTTTATATTTTTGGTCTTTTCCGGTCCCTCTCTTCCTCACTCACTGCGGTAAGCGGGCCTTCTACATTGACCGAACCAGAAGCATTCGCCCTATACCATAGACGTCTGAAAACATATCAAACCTCAGAAACTCCAGATAGCCATGACCGCAATCTTAAAACATCTCGCATCCAGACTTGGTCAATGGTCAGAAAACTTTAAATCCTGGTAACTGGTATCTGTTTAGCCTCTATCCTTTTGTGCGAATATCCATCGTGTCTTGTCTAATTAACATCGAGTGGTGTGGTTTTCGAGTCCACCGGTCATGCTCATCAAGTATTGTCTCTACAATCCCGGTACTTCCAATACAATATCACTTATCAGTTTTATGCTCAATTCAAGTCTAGCTACAGATATCTACCTATTCCCAAACATCAAATCCAGGCAAAGCAAATTACGCAGCAACAGAAACAAAAGAACTCCCCGCGGCGATCTTCTCGGCCAAAGTTCTCACGGGCTGGGAGCCGAGGAATTCAAACGAGGAGACCTCCGCGCCCATTTCCCGATTCACCCAGCTCTGTACCTCGGCGGCCTTGAGTGAGTCCACTGCATATGATGTTAGTAAAGCAATACCAAGGCAAAGATTCTGGCCCGCTCAGGAACCCAACGCAAAAATGGCACCATTCGAAGGAAGACAGTTGAACTTACCACCCAGAGCCGAAAATGGCAGCTCCAGATCAATATCATCCGGCGCCGCGGCCATCGCGCGAGCTAAATACTCCTGCAACGCCTGTTGAACCACGCGTACAGCCTCATCCACAGACTCGGCCTTCTTCAGCAAGACGCTCGGCTTCCGGGCCACGCCGGCACCGCCATCGACGCCGTCCTGTGCGTCCGGGGCGGCAAGCCTGGCCCGGTGGTCGAACTTTCGGTCAAACTGCCACGGGGATGCGCTGGCGCCGTCTTCGCCGCGCGGCAGGATGTCCGTCATGCCGGCAATGACCTGGGCGGGGACCTCGGAGATGCCCTGCACGATGACGCGGAAGAGGGTCTGGATCTCGTGCTGCAAGATCTCCGTCCCCTCGAGATGGCGGTAGCGCTGGCGACGCTGTTCGGGCGATTCTTCAGCCAGGGCCTCGCCCACCCCGCTGGCGTCGGGGACGAGGCCGATGTTGATGCTGTGACCGGGGAGCCCGTGCTGCTGGCGCCATCGCATCAGAGCGTCCATGTAGCCGTTGCCGGCGGAGTAGTTGGCCTGGCCCATGTTGCCGATCACGCTGGCCACAGAGGACAGAGTCACGAAGAAGTCCAGTCCGCCGTCGCCATTGCTGCTGTTCGGGTCCGAGAAGGCTTCGTGGAGGTTCCAGGTGCCCTGGATCTTGGGGGAAATGGACTGTTTCCAGTCGTCGAATTTCATCTGCTCGAACATGCCGTCCTTTTCGGTACAGTGTTAGTATTATGAGACAAGTTGACTTTCTAGATCAATTTTCGGTGTGTGGACCACTTACCTTCAGCACCGTTGCGCACTGCACAATACCCCGGATGCGCCAATTGTGCTCCTTTGCTTGGGCGAGAAGTCCCTGTACATCCTCGCGGCGGGCAGCGTCGCAGCGGACGACCTCAGTGCGCACGCCTTGCGCCTGCAGACCCTCCAGCGCCGCGGTTTGTGTCGGCTGGACGGCTCCAGAGCGACTGACAAAGACGATATGACGGGCGCCGCAATCAGCCAAGGTGGTCGCAAGCGACAATCCCAGCGTTCCCAGACCACCGATCAGGAGGTAAGTATTCTCCGCCGGCAGCGGAGCCGGCTCAGGGATGGCGGGCACAATGGGCACCTTCCCTGGCGCCTGAAGGTTGATAATGACCCGGGTGCCCAGATCACGCGCATGGGCCAGGGCATCGGTCAGCTGGGAGACTGGGAAGACCGGATAGGATTCAATCCTAGCCACAGCTCTGTTCTTTCCGCCCGCGAGAAGGTCCACGGCGCGGTGGAAACTGGCTTGCAGCTGGCGCGGCGCATCGCGGAGCAGACGAGACAGCCGCAGGGAGCTGACGGTGCATCCACGATCGGCTATGGACTGGGGGAGGCCAGCCAGGTTCAATTCCCCGCTGAGATCGACCAGACGGCCGTTGAAAGACAGGCACCGCGCGGCGAGACGGGTTGCAGCCCCTCCCATGCCGCAGACGCTGAGCTCCACCCCCTTGCCAGCTGTTAAGCGAGAGATCGTCGTCGGCAGGTCCCGGTGGAGGGCGATGATGCGGTCCTCCTTCAAAGCTGGGTACCTCGAGCGCAATTCCGCGGCCGCGCTCTCTCCCTCGACGGCTGCATACACTTGCATTCCTGCCGCCAAGGCACAACCTATCGTCGCCCGGAGGGTCTGGCTGACGGAGCCCACCACCAAGACTGAGGATGCGGCGGGTGATCCAGGGTTACCGAGCAGACTGGTGTAAGCGGTAGCATATGCCACAGGCATCGAGACAGATTGATGCGCGTGTTCCTGGCCGGGAGGTATGGTCCAAAGTGCGCTGGTGGGGAGACGCACTCGCGTAGCCATGCTACTCGACCATGCATCGCTAGGCACGATACAAAGTACGGGCTCCCCGGGTACAAAGGCCGAGCTGATGGATGCTCCGACCTGACGAATGACCCCGACGGCCTCGACGGCTCTGATGCCTGCCTCTGGCAAGAGAGTCTTCTTCTTCCCCGCCGGTGGGAAGATAGTGACCTGGTGGAGTTGCACCTCGACATGGTCATCGCTCAGGGGTGGGTTCATCCTCTCATCCTCCACCCAGTGAGCGTCTTGGAGGTCTGGCGACTCGGTGCGAAGACGCATAGGTCTCCTCTCGTTCACGAGCTCCGCCGGGGTCGGTCGCGGGCCGTTGAGCAGAGCATCCATACTCTCATCGAGCGACGTGGCGGCGAGTGCTCGGGGGACGAACAACCGACCATCTTGCACATAGAACTCCCAATCGCGTGATCGGGAGCCAGATGGCTGCAAGGTGAGCTGCAGCACATGAGCAATACTTTGAGCCAGCGGGGCTGCCTCCTTATCGGAGTCGGCAACAAACAGTTGGGGCAGCGCAAGACCGGACCTTTCATTGCGCAAGGTCCGCAGCAGACCGGTGGTCGCCCCAGAGCTGGCGGATCTGCGAGCCTCGTCCGCGGGGCCCTGGGAAGACACCCAGAGGAGGCACTTGGCCTTCAGCAGCCCTCGGAATTGATCCATTTCGTCTTCAGTCCAGTTCATGGTCCATGGCTGATCAAGCTCCAGCAACGAGATAAGTATCTTGCCTTCTAGCTCCGATACCTTGTCGATGCTTACTGGCTCTATCCTGGCACCTGTACTCTCAAAAATGTCCTTGAGCTCGTGCGACAGAGCTGCGGCAGTTTCGGCAGGCCCGGCACACAGGACATAAATCACCGGGCCCGGCTCAAGAGCAGAGCTTTCGCGACGGATGATCGAGCAGTGCGGTTGTTCAAGGGAGCCGCGCAGAGCCCAGTCTGGATGCGCCTCAACATGGCTGACGACCGCATCCTCGGCTGAGGTCCGAGCGATAATCCAGCTATCTGGTCCAGTCAGGGAGCCCAGGGAGCTGAGCAAAGTCTCGGACTCGTTGCCATCATCCTGGCCTCTTGCATAATCGGTAAGTACCACATCGTAATCGTCTCCCACTAGGTCTGCGTCTAGCTCTTGCAGTGAGGACACAACTAAGCTCTGGCACCCGGGTAGTGCACTCTGGAGACTCTTGAGCTGTCCCTCCAACTCCTTAGGGTTGGGGTGGATCAACACAACCGTTAGCTGCTGCAGACGTGGTCGCTGAGTGTTCCCCGGTGCGAAGGACTGAAGAGCCTGAACAATCTCTTCGGTGTTGTCCTTCTCAGCCACAACTAAGGCTTTAGCATCACCGTGAGTAAGGCAAAGCCTTTCGACCCAGCGGGGCAATCCCCCAGCACACTTGACGACCCCGTTAGGTCGATGGCAACCGGAATCCACATGTTCCACCCAAGTGAGAGACGAGAATCGACTTCCTGCAACTTCCTCGCTGCCGGTGCCGGACGACGAGCGGTTCTGCATGGGGACCCGGCCAAGTCTCACTCCTTGCAGGACCACCCCGGGCTGCTGCCAAGATGGGTCCGATGCGATGGACTCCGAGAAGGAGACGCCATTCTCATAGTGCGTTTCCACATGGACTTCGAAGTGATCGCCGGGCTGCAGGGAGAAGTCCGTCGAGAGGTAGAGACGCTCGACCGCGATGGGGATATTGGCATTGTGGTTGGTGAGCGCCTCCGAGCAGGACAGCACAGCGGCCTGGAACAGGGCATCAAGGGAGGTCGGGTGGACAAAGCACGGGGATTCGCACTCGTGGGGCATGGCTCGTTGGGTGTCCGGGACCACCCCAGAAACATGCAGGCGAGGCGATTCAGGATCAAAGGAGACTCCAACCATCGAATGGAAAGTCGGGCCCAGCGTGACTCCTCCGGTCTCGCCAAGCCACTTGTAGACGTGCTCGATATCGGTCTCTTTGGCGACCTTCTGCGTCTGCCGCACTCCTTCCACCATACTCTGCCAGTCTGCGCGATAGGCCGTCTGCGTGCCGTCGTTGTCATCGTCATCCGCGTACTGCAGGGCAAAAGAGCCCTTGGCGTGCTGGACCCACGAAGACTTCTCCGGCAACGAGAAGATGCCGAATTCATACCACCCGGGCACTCCGCGATGGGGGGCGACATGCACCGTGGTTTCCAGCCCGCGTTCATCGGCAGGAATCACCACGCCCCGGAAGAACTCCAGGTCGTGAAACTCGATCCCTTCCAGCCACTTCTTGGAGTCGGCCAGCTGGCGGCCAGCCTCGGCCACCATAGCGACCATCCCCGCGGCCGGATAGACGATCGAGCCCGCCACCACATGGTCGGCTACCCAGGGCAAGTCGGACACGCGGATGAAGTTGCGCCAGCGGGGTTCCAACTCGTTCTGGTAGTCGAACGGCACTCCGAGAAGATCGTGCCGGGGCTCCGCGCGCTGTCGGAGGCGAGCGGACTCCAAAGGCTCGTGCCAGAAAGTCGATTGATGGTTCCACGCGTACGCCGGAAGTTCGAGGCTCACTCGCGGCGATTCCTGTAGAAGGCTACGGTTGGCGGCGTCAATGTCAATCCCATAGCCGATACTCCACAACAGACCGGCAGCTTGCAGGGCCACGCGCAGCGCATCTTCCTTGCGCCGCACCAATCCAGTGTAAGGCAACGAGGTCAGACCCTTGTTGGCCTCTTGCAGGGTCTGCATGAACGGGCCCTTCAGGGCTTCATGGGGGCCGATTTCGAGGAACCCTCCCCACTTGACAGGGACCGCACGCCGACGGCCCTTGCCGGCTTCCGTCATCGTGGCCAGCTTGGTGGCGGCCGCCGCGAACTCCACGGGGCTCACCAGGTTGCGCACCCAGTAGGAGGCGTTCAGCTCGTCGGCGCGGACCCGCTCCTTGGTGACGGAGGAGAACATGGCCACAGAGCCCTTGTATTTATCTATGGGCTGAACGGATTGGATGGCCTCTTCATACTGACTGGCCAGCTCTCGCATGTGCGGCGAGTGGTACGCGGTATCCACGCGCAGCTTACGGGCGAAATAACCATCGGTCTGCAATTGCTTCTCCAGCTGCTCGATTTCTTCGATGTTCCCCGAAAGCGTGACACTCGATGGACTGTTGACGCAGGCCACCACGACCGAGTCCGGAGGTAATTTCCGGAGGTATTCCCGACCCTGGTCTGCAGATATGCCGGCAGCAAGCATCCCCCCGCGGCGGCGGCCATTTTCTGCAATCTGCTGCGAAAACACGCCACGAAAGTAGGTAATTCTGATGGCGTCCTCGTGGGTCAGATATCCAGCCGCATAAGCAGCTCCTAAAGGTGTGACACAATAGAGTTAGCCTTCCGTTGATTTGGTTCTTGAGTGGTTACGAAGAATTCGCTTCCCACCGGGATCATCGCGCGAGAAAACATACCAACTTCACCGCTCGAGTGGCCAATAACAGCCTTGGGAGACACCTTCCAGCTCCGGAGAAGATCAATCAGAGCTACCTGCAAAGCGCAACAGATGGGCTGACTGCGATCGGGTCGATTGACGCGAGTGGCCGTCGCGTCGGCACGGATCTCCTCGAGCAGATCCCATGTACAGCCCATAGTCTGCAGCAGTTGCTGGCTGCGGTCCACGCTCGCTGCAAAGACCGGATTAGCAAGTAGCTCGACTCCCATGCGGGCCCACTGCGCGCCTTGGCCCGTGCAAACAAAGGCCAGTGGCGTCTGGGTCTTGCGGCTGGCGCGAGGGAAGCTGGGCAGGCCGGCGCTCATTGTCTCCCGCAGCTCTTCCAGCGAATCTACCACCGCGTAACTGCGGAACGCAAGCTGGGAGCGCCGGGTGGCCATGGTGTGCGCGACATCCGGCAGAGCGAGACTCTCGGCTTTCTTACCCAGGACGTGGTCGTCGAGATAGGTGGTCCATTTCTCGGCCGTGCGGTCCAGACCGGCCTTGTCATGGGTGGAAACCACCACAACCTGGGGCGTTCCCTTCGCAGCAGTGGCAGACGCACACTGCGCGGAGCCACTCCCCAAGTACTGGGCGGCGCTCTCCAAGATGGCATGCGCGTTGGCGCCCCCGAAGCCGAAGGAATTGATGCTGGCGCGCTGCGGTCGGTGCGCCGGCCATGGGGTGGTCGAGTCGCTCAGACGCAGACCCCATTCGTCGGGCCGGATCTTGGGATTCAGCTGGGAGAAGCCCGCATTTGGGACGAGCATCGCCTTTTCCAAACAAAGGATCACTTTGATCAAGCTGGCCACGCCGGCCGCACCCTCCGTGTGACCGACATTACTCTTGACGGACCCGACATAAACGGGCTCATTCCGCGGCTGCTGATCTCCAGGGCCGAAGAAAGACCCCAGGGCGGACAACTCGGTAGGGTCCTACGCCGTGCACCTGTTGTTAGCTTTGCAATCGTTCCTTTGGCTCAATGCGCTCGGGTTGATTTATGTACGTACACCAATTGCTGTGCCGGTTCCATGGGCTTCAAAATAGGTGACATCGCTCGGGGACAGCCCAGCCTGGCGATAGGTGGCGCGGATCAGATCCGCCTGCGCTTCGGCATTTGGCATCGTGATACCAGGAGTACGGCCGTCCTGGTTGGAGCCTGTGGCGCGCACGATGGCTCGGATTACATCGCCGTCGGCCTGCGCCTTGGATAGGGGCTTGAGCAGAACCGCGCCGAAGCCCTCTCCGCGGCCATAGCCGTTGGCGCGGCTGTCGAAGGAATGGCTGATCCCGTCGGCGCTGAGCATGTGCATATAGGAGAGCCGCTGGGTGAAATTCGGATGCAAGATCAAGCTGGCTCCGGTGACCAGTGCCTATGGGACAGTGACAGCGGTTAGCTCTCCTCCCATCTACACGAGAGAAAGTCAAAGTGAAGTCGTCATTTACATACCTGGCTGCATTCGCCTGCCCGCAAGGCCTGAGTGGCCAGATGCAATGCATTCAAGCTGGAGGAACACGCAGTGTCCAGCATAATACTTGGGCCACGGAGGTCAAAGAACCAGGAGAGACGGTTGGCGAGCATGGTCCTCCCGTTGCCGGTAGCTGAGTTATGCGGCATGTCCATGAGATCGCGCGTGGATAGCAACTCGTAGTCGTTGGTCATGCATCCGCTGTAGACTCCAGTGGCACTCCCGGGTAGAGATTCCATCGGGACACCGCCTGAGATTATGATTCAGCCATGTCTCTCTCCGCCTATCCCTGTCTCTCTCTTCCTCTCTCTCTTTCTGAAGGTGTGGTAGTGGTGGTGGTGGTGGTGGTGGTGATGGAAAGCAACCACGTACCATTCTCAAAGGCTTCATACGCCACTTCAAGCAACAAGCGTTGCACTGGATCCATGCCCGCAGCTTCTTTGGTGGTGATGGCAAAGAACGGAGCATCAAAGTAACTCGGATCCTCTTTCAAGAAGAACCCGCTGTCATGATTAATCTGCTCATTATTATTAGCAGTCTGGGAGTCTTTCTGACCCAAAAGCCAGCAGGGCAGAAGACATACAGCGCCCGCGCGCTCGTGGCTGGGATGCTTCCACGCCGAGGCTTGATATCGGTTTGATGGGACACGGCCATGTTCTTTGCGGCCCAGGCGCAGCATGTCCCAGAATCCTTCAACGGAGGATGCTTCGCCTGCAAAGCGACAGCCCATGCCAATGACAGCAATGGGCTCAGGGCCAGCTGGGGGCGTGGCGAAGGTTGAGCTTTCAGTCATTGTAGTTGACAGTAACTGGGGAAAGATCTTAAGTATTGGTGAGTATGAAAAGTACAATTGCAATGGATCGATCAAAAAGGCCTATATTAGTGGATATGGCTTTCAAGAATCTATAAAGCGAGCGGCCTGCTTTTAAAACCATCAGCTGGCCCTGATAGTTCTTGTCGTATTTATGCAGGATAGCGTGAGGCTTCCTCATCTCATCCCCCCGTCTTATCCATGATGCAATCGAATTTTGCGCGGTGGGTTTGTGGAGGGCACAATAACGGACTGCTCCCTTTGCCTTTGCATCATGGAGTTACACAAGTCCCGAGATGCAGAAAGATCCCGAAAAGGTAGGGGAATACATTCTGATTTCGTCAGAAGAAGACGGTCGGTGTCGCCACCGAGGAGATCTGCAAGAGACCCCTGGCTGAGTGGAGGCGATAAGAAGCGAACAAAAGATGCGACAGGGTCAAAAGGCTCATACGATCTGGAACGAGTCCTTAATTCAACTTCTTATCAACACCTCAACCACATCGCTAAGCATTTCTGGTTATCCATCGTCTGCTACATTCAATCTCCATGGCTACTCAACGCGCTGTCATTGTTCGTGAACGTGGTCAGGTCGCCCTTGTCGATGACCTTCCCATACCGAGCTTGCCTGACGACTACATCTTGGTGAAAACCCGCGCAGGTACGTCCACTGTGTCCGAATGGAGCCGAGTTCCATTCTCTCCAATGTGATTCTGAAGCCGATGCAGTGGCTCTCAATCCAACCGACTGGAAACACGTCGACTTCGAGTCATGCAACGGAGCGGTCGTCGGCTGTGACTATGCCGGCATTGTCGAGGCCATTGGGTCTCAGGTGCGCAAATCGTGGAAGAAAGGCGAGCGTATCGCCGGGTTTGTTCACGGCTGCGACATCATGCGGCCCCACGGAGGTGCCTTTGCAGAGTATGTGATCGCCAAGGGGGACTTGCAGTTCAACGTGCCAGATTGGATGAGCCTTGAAGAGGCGGCTTGTTTAGGGGTCGGCATGACCACCATTGGACAGAACCTCTATCAGTCTATGCAGCTGGCTGAACCGGGCAAGGCGAAGGACGAAGAGGATGAGGATGAAGGGGTCACTCAAATTCTGATCTACGGCGGGGCCACCGCAACGGGCTCCCTCGCGATCCAGTTCGCGAAGCTGTCCGGTCTTCGCGTCGTCACCACATGCTCGGAAGTCAACCGCGCCTGGATGCTGGAGCTCGGCGCGGATGCGGTCTTCGACTATCATGATTCCCAGGTAGGGGACCGAATCCGCGAGGAGACCGATGATGCCCTGGAGCTCGTCTTTGACACCATCTCCACGAATGCCTCGGCGGCGATATGTGCCGCCGCGATTTCGTCATCCGGCGGCTGCTACAATGCGCTGCTGGACGTGAGATGCCCACGGGCTGACGTGGATACGCAAGTCTCGATGGCCTACGATATGATCGGGGAGCCTTACCAGATGGGCGGCAAGGAAGTCCCAGCCACGCCTGCAAACCTCCAATTTGGGTCCCAGTGGGCTGATACGGTGGAGAAGTTGTTACAGACCCGCCAGATTACCCCCCATCGATTAGAGGCGAAATCGGGTGGTTTGGCTGGAATTCCCGCGGGATTGGACTTGCTCCGACAGGGCAAGGTGCGGGCCTCCAAGCTGGTCTATTGTGTTGATGAGACCCAGTAGAGGCGGGGAAGTAATCACTAAGAGAGCTTCTGAAAGGGATATGGAATGTTGATCACTCTTCACAATGAGAGCCAAGAATTGATATGCCGATGTGGCGCCGCCAAGTCGGTCCTCTCACGGCGATTGACTTCACGATTTCCGTCTTAGGGTTAATTTGATCTTTGCCGTACTTGAAGTAGAGCTTATGATCCGCCGGGGAAATGGCGGTCTTTTTCCTGCAAGGAATAATGAGAACACACTCGGAAAGAGATGTCCGAGGTGAGGGGTTGCTGAACACAAGATAAGGAGAATTTGTAGAAGCCCCTTGCTTCAACTCGAGGAATGTGGCCAGGCAGAATTTGTCATGCCTGAAACGAACCACACAGCACACCATGTATGGTTCCAAGCGGCCGGGATATCATAGCATGCATATAGGAGCACCAAACAAGTGATCGGTGACTCAAGCGGGCTATTCATGCAGCATTGCTGCAGAATGACTTATGAGTATATTGACTGACCCGGTCGACGCCTACATTTTCTTAAGAACGGTCGCATCATCCCTACAATGCGCCACTGACACTAGGTTAAGAGTAAACGTCATATCAGCGAAGAATGATCCCAAATAAGAGGGAAGCCGTGTATTTTGGCGAGTGTAGATAAAGCGAAGCTTCCATAACACTCTTGAGAAGTATATTCTTTTCTCACAAGACCTGCGCTCAACAAAGCTGCAACAAGACCAACAAACGCAACACAATGAAGATCCTTTGTCTTCATGGCTACGGAACGAACCCTGATGTTCTACAACATCAGCTCTCAGCACTGAGACGAGATGCTGACCCGAGCTGGGAATTTGTTTTCCTCTCTGGCGAGATTGAATGCTCGCCTGCGCCTGGTGAATTGGTTCTCTGCCAGTGTGCGAATCAGACTATTCACTGACAACCAGGTTCTATTCTTCACTTCTAGGCATCGGAGACACTTTCCCGGGACCATATTATTGCTGGACTCGCACATTCGACACCGAGTCGGTTGACGCAGCTCACGCCTTGATCGAAGAGGCAATCGAGGAGAACGGCCCCTTTGATGGAGTACTGGGATTCAGTCAAGGCGCCGCGGTGATGGCCTCTTTCATGCTGGAATACGCCACCACCCATCCAGAGGAGCCCGGTCCGTTCCGGTTCGCAATCTTCTGCTCGCCCACGATTCCCTGCGCCGCCGACTCGGCGTACAATCAGGCTGTATATGGTTCGCTGTCGTCCGAAGACCAGCAACGTCTCCGCTCCGGCCAGGAAATCCAGCTTGCGCAGCTCCCCGAGCCAGCCCGGTCGGTGTCCGAGGCGATGCTGGAGGTCATTCACAGCACGCAGTCCATCACAGGCGACTCGGCCTCGTATTTCTTCGATCGGGCGCCCCATCTCGTGCCAAGTGCTTTGCATCCAAATGCACTGCAGACACGCCTCGCAATCCCCTCTCTCCACTTGCACGGGCGAAATGACCTCCCAGGGATGGGCAATTTTGCAGCTCTTGTGCGATCATTCTTTGATCCGAGTAACACTAAGACGCTTGAGCACTCGGCCGGTCATGACCTCCCGCGGTCAGGGATGGAGGCAAAGAAGTTCTTGTCTGGCATGGAATGGGTCATGGCACAAAGCCAGTTGCCGAGCCTGTGAGGGCTAAGGTTCCTTAGCCACATGTGAATATATCCGGTGGTTCATGTCAGCTCTCAGGTAGACTTTACCTATAGTTCATTATCATATCCCTGTTTCAAGGCACTGTATTTGGTAACTTGCCATCTTTCATAATCACAACTCCCCTGGTTTATAAAGCACACAGGCGCCTAAAGATCATAAGAAATTGAATAATAAATAACTTATGCGGATTGGGAAAACGTTCAAAAAATTGCTGTTATGTTCTCCGGAGGGGTGTATATACTACAACGCACTCATGGGAAAGGGGCCACGAAATGGTCCCTCTAATACAAGGCAGTTTGTCGGTCTCCCATATTAGTCATTATATGTAAGATGAGAGATAACTGTTAACAATCAGATCTACAATTTATCTTGACCATACAACATGCAAGTCTGGCTGATTCTAGATATAGCTTGTTGGAAAGGGAAATAAGACCTCGTTAAATTAGAGAATCATGTCCGGACTAAGCAGGCTGCAAGATTCAGCAACCTATGCCTGTGTAGTATATTATTCGTATATTTATCTTTATGTTTAGCAGGTTTTCAGATACATCTATACTATCCCTGCTTTATAAAAGCAAGGTAATTGTTATTGCCAAGTCATCGTTGTAAAAACAACACGTCGGGGGGGTTATATAGATGTATTCGTATATTGATTACTTCACTGTGCGCAGGGCTATTTTCAGGCTCTGTGGGCTACACTATCATTAGTGGGTATGATGGTTCTGGTTTCGTTCACTGATATTAGTAGTACTTCCTGCTTCTATCTACTGACAATTGTAAGTAGCGATAGTGAGCACTATAATGGCACAATGTCCCATTGCCAACAACTCTACTAAGCTCACGCAAAGTAAATCTCACAGCAGCCTGCACTACTAGTTCCGAGTCAGCAGTTTCCGGCACAGCCTGTAGTCCCTTTTCAGCTTGAATTCTGGACGTCAACCTCTGGTATGGCTCATTGATCACCATGGTTTAAAAGAATGATGACGCACTCAACAAGGGCGGTTTGTGCTACCGCAAGCAAACCATAGTTCAAATACTGAGATGTAGGAGGCTCGAACAAGTAGGTGCTGACGATTCGTAGTAGCTTAGTAGCCTTTGCAGAACGAACGAACGAGGGGCATTGGAATGCTGGACGGCCGCCATGGCTCTGTTTAGATCCGAAGATCACTCGATCACTCCAGCATGTATTACTATCACTCTAGCCAAATTGCATTCTACAAGCGACGATCACGCGCGCTTACCACGCAAACATATTTTCGACAAGGCAGATTTGCCACGATGCCAATTTTGGGAAATGAGACTGGCGTCTGCGCATCATATAAATTTTGACTTTGTCTCGCTTTCCAACGCCCGCCGTATTTCAATCATCGACCCTTGAAACAATCGCAGACAGTATGGGATCCAACGACCTCGCACCAAGACTCCTAACTCAATTAGTAGATCAGCAAGCAAAAAGTCAACCCGACCGCTTGTATTGTGTTCACCCAACCTCCCAAGATGCCGAGTGTGAATGGCGCCCGATCACGTACCAGCACCTGTCGTATGCCGTGGACCGTGTAGCCTGGTGGATCGAGGAGAAGCTCCAGGGGAAAGAGAGACAGGTGCTTGCGTACATCGGGACAAATGATCTGCGGTACTGTGCTTTTGCGCTCGCGTGTATGAAAACAGGCCATGTCGTAAGAAACCTTTCCACTATCATCCTGTTCTTTGCGTGGTTGTCTTTCTCTTGTTTTCACGGCGAGATAGGGTTCCCTGACTGACTCCGATACATGCCAGGCACTACTGCTTTCCACGCGTAACTCGCAGCCTGCTTTCCGCCATCTGATCTCAGAGACACGTTGTTCGGTGCTCGTGGATGGAAGTGAACGAGCTCAATTACAGAAGATCATCGATGAGGTTGATGACAATTGCTCAGATCTTGGACTTGAGCGATGGCAGATGGCACCATTCTGGGACATTTTCGCACCTTCTCCTGTCCCGGAATATCCTCACCAAGAAAGCTACAATGATGTTGAAGACTATCCAACTTTGATAATCCATAGCTCAGGGACCACGGGGATGCCCAAACCCATCACTCTGACCCACGGGTATCTGGCAACCATAGACCAGATGCAGACCCTGCCCGTGCCTCCAGGTCGGGAGCCTGCCATGAGCGCTCTGCGGAACATGGGCAAGATGCGATTTTTTCACGGGCCTATGTTTCATATCATGGGGTGGTACTGTCTAGCTGAGTGCATCTTCTACGAAACTCCTTTCCTGATGGCCCCTGATCGACCTCTCACCCCTGAGCTGTTCTCCCGCATCATGTCCGCCCCGGTTCCGCCTCGATGGGGTCTACTCAGCCCGTTTCTCCTGCAAGACCTCTGGTCTTCTGAACAAGGGCGACTGGCCTTGCTACAACTGCAAGATGTGAACTATGGCGGGGCGCCTCTCGCCAGCGCGACCGGCGATGCCATCTCTACTCAGCTCCGGCTGCAGACACTGATGGGCAGTAGCGAGACGGTGTACACGGCGACGCTTCTCTGCCAAGACCCCGCAGACTGGAACTATTTTGAATGGAATCCATTTTTCGACCATCGCATGGAGGAAGCTGGGGAGGGTCTGTGGCAGCTGGTGCTCCCTCGCCCTCCATCCCGCCGATATCACGGCGTCTTCCACAGCTTCCCGCACCTGACCGAGTATCGCACCGGCGATCTCTTCGAACCTCACCCTTCGAAGCCCAATCTTTGGCGAGCCAAGGGGCGAGCAGACGATGTCATTGTTCTCAGCAACGGCGAGAAGCTGAATCCTGTAGATGCAGAACGTCAGTTGGAAACCCACCCTCTTGTCCATCGGGCGGCCATCTTCGGTCAGGAGCGCTTTCAGGTGGCATTGATAGTAGAGCCTGAGTGGGACAGCCTGCCGGAATCCTGGACCCAGGAGTCTCTCCTACGTGACCTGGCACCCACTCTCAACGAAGCCAATGGCTTGTTGCCGGCTCATGGACAGGTCCACCGCACCCACGTTACACTTGCATTGCCCGATCGACCGTTTGCACTGACACCGAAGGGCACACTGCGCCGGCGAGAAACCAGCAAGCTTTACAAGGATGTGATCGATGCTCTATATAACCCTGCACCAGAGCCTGGCCACGCTGTCGAAGATCTGAATGCACTGCCAGACTCAAGTCGTGACGAGCTCCAGTTGTGGGTGCAACGCCTGGTGGCGAAGATATCAGGGGTCAGTGCGGTGGATCTGAACACCGACATCGTCAACTTGGGCGTCGACTCCCTGCAGGTTGTTCGACTTTCCCAGGCACTACAGGACGCTTCCAATCGAATCCGGCCGCCCCATCAACCAGCGTTCTCCTGGACCAGCGCCGCCGTTTATGAGCATGCGACCGTGCGACGACTGGCGGAAGCGCTGTACAAACAAAAAGGCCAGGGCTCTGGGGCAGATACCGCAGAGGGCCAGACACCCTCGCCTGCCAACTGGCCGCGCGAGCATATGCTGACCCGCGCGGTCTGGCAGCAGGCACAGGAGTTGCAGCTCCGTGGGAAGACCGTGCTGCTGACTGGATCCACAGGCGAGCTTGGCAGCTATCTCCTACATGAACTGCTACAGGATCCGACCGTCATGCGGATCTATTGCCTCAACCGCTCCGCGGATGCTCAAGCACGACAGCTGGTTCAGTTCCAAGAGAAGAGGCTCGCAGACGGCTGGCTCCAGGAAACCTCCCGCGTACATTTCTGGCAGGCCGACCTGAGCCAAGAGAATCTCGGTCTGACATCGGACGCGTACCGCCACTTGCGCGAGCGGGTCGACGTGGTCGTGCATAATGCGTGGATGGTGAACTTCAATCTGCCCCTTTCGAGTTTCGAGATCCAGTTGGAGGGGACACAGCGCCTGCTGGCCTTGATTGGGGGCTCGACCCGCCAGGCGGCCCTTCATTTTGTTTCGTCGATCGCCGCCGTCAGTAATTGTAGGTCGGATGCGCCGATCACCGCCAGCCATATCACCGAAACGCTGCATGACTCGTCCTTAGTCCTTAATCAAGGTTACGCGGAGTCGAAGTTTGCGGCCGAGGTTCTTTGTGACCTGTTCGCACAGGAGCGCCCGAACACGATCGCCATTCATCGAGTAGGTCAATTGGCAGGCCCATCGTATGCAGAGGCGGGCATGTGGGTTTCCCGTGACTGGTTTCCTGCCCTGATCAAGACCTCTCACACCATGGGAGAGCTGCCTGACAGCCTAGGATCGATTCCCGTGGATTGGGTTCCAATTGTGAGTTAGCTGCTGGGAAGATAGCTTAACCGAGCAAAGACTGACATGATGTCTAGGATATCGCTGCTCGAGGCATCACCCAGATCATCCTCGCACGATGTGGTGTCGACTCATTGTGTTCACCCCCGGCGCGCCGTGCAGAGGTCTATCATATCGTCAACCCGCATACCAGCCCCTGGGACTCACTGGCGCAGGTCGCGAGTCGTGCCTGCAATGCCAAGATCATCCCCCTCAGAGACTGGATCCAGAGCCTGGAACGACGGCTGTCGGACCCGAACATGGCGCAAACTACCTTGCAAGACATGCCTGCGGCATCGCTTATGGACTTCTTCGCCGCGCTAGCAAACTCTCAGGGCTGGGTACGGCCTCCTGCAGATACTAGCAATGCGCAGAAGTACAGTGCTGCCTTGCGCGGGCTGGGACCAGTAGATGGTGGCTTCATGGAAGTGTGGCTGCGACAGTGGAAGGGTTGGATACCAGCGCTGCATATCTAGAACTCGACCTTTTCGTTTTGCCTCTATGGGAGTGAAAATGTGTGAACACCTTGGGGGCCGCGGGAGTGGCTAGATCCGAGTTAAAATAAATTTCCAAGTAGTCAGCTACTGATATTGGTGGCAAACAATGTTCAACCTGTTGATTTGTTGTATATTATGACTAAAATCTCTTTCCCAGAATCATACCCTCAATCTGATGGCGCCAGTATGCAGTAAATCTTCTTGCAGGCCGAGGCCAATCATCTCTACGACAGCATCACATATTTACACAAACAAAGAAGTATGCACAGGATGCATAGCCACGAATGTCCTCCGATGTGGAGTCTCTTTAGATCCCATGTGGGCACCACACACAAGCTTTTTCATTGCATTCAAATCAAGAACCCGGTTTGGAATGGATCATCAGGATCCAACCGCACCTGACGCTCGCCTGTAATCCACGCTCTGCCCCGTATCGTCGGCAGCACCGCATCCACACCCCCGACTTTCTGCACCCCGCGTATGGTACCAACGAATTCAGTATCGATGATACTGCGGAAGGTGACTTTTCCCCCAACTTGTACCTGTCCTCGTGCATGGAGGACTGCCAGACGAGAGGAGCTTCCCGTCCCGCAGGGACTCCGATCCAGCCTCCCCGGCGTGACAATGACCGTATGCCTCACCGAAAGCCCACCATCCTGCTCAGCAAGCGGCGCACTGATAATCACATTATTGATGCCCCGGATAGCCGGGTTCTCCGGGTGCGTGGGCATACATTGCGCCAGCACCGCCGCCTTCAGCTGCTGCCCCAACTCGACCAGCCGGTCTTTCTCAGCTGTCTGAACCGGAACATTCCCCAGATCCTTCGCCTGGGCAATCACGTACCACTGGCCCCCGTATGCAATATCCACCCGAACACTTCCCACGCCCGGAATCGAGACCTCCATGTCGAGCGCGTACACAAACGCAGGCACGTTGTCGAACGAGACGGACTTGCACCGGCCCTCGGAGCACTCAGCCGTGGCCGTGACCAGGCCGGCCGCCGTGTCCAGCTTCACCTCAGTGGTGGGCTCTTGCATCGGGATCATCCCGGTCTCGAGCAGGACGGTGGTGGTGCAGATGGTGTTGGACCCGGACATGGGGACCCAGTCGCCCGGGGCCATGATCAGGAAGCCGGCGTCGGCGCGCGGGTCGCACGGCGGGAGGACGAGGTTGACGCTCATCTCGAGCCGACCCCGGGGCTCGTGGAGGATCAGCCGGCGCAGGTCGTCGTGCTCGGCCATGGAGCGCACGAGCTTGGCGTGCATCGTCGGCGCGGGGAGGTCGAGCACGCCGCCGACGATCACGTCGCCGACTTCGCCTTCGCAGTGGCAGCATACCAGGGAGATGTTGCGGCGGGATCGCATTCTTCTTTCTTTCGTCGGCGGTTGTGCTTCGCTCTGGATTGGTTGCTAAGAACAGGGCTATAGTTGAGGTAGGTATGGTAGAGATCGGTTGCTGGGCCAAATTTGAGATTGGGTATAGCAAACCTTTCTTATCAACGAACATTGGCGGAACAACTTGCATATGTCTTGGATAGCAAGCTTTATGGCGATTTAATTAGGTTCTATGACATTTCCGAGGGGTTCCGGGAGCTCTTTCCTAACCTGTTTGCTGCGCAGGGCGCTTTTGCCACGGATCCGTAAGATCACCAATTCTGGACATTGATCAGTGTCAGGGGCAAAGGGCCAGTGGGCTTATCTTTCATGTGAACTGACAGTGTGATACGATCGGCAGGACCTGTGAATGTGCATTATCTTGCCAGATCATTCCATCGATGTTGCCACCCTGCTGCGAACCTGCGGTCTATACATGGCTTGTAATTAGCCCACTATCCAGAAATCCTCACGATACTAAAATCACTATAACACATGATACTTGCAAGAAGTGACACGCACACAAAAGTATGGTACTGGTCCGAGGACCCATGAAAAGGCGGGGGGATTGGCGGGGATGAAGGCCCTGACTGAGATTGGCGTGACAGCCCGATTTTGGCAAGTGGTTCCGGCTGCTTTTCAGCCTATCGGACTCTATACCTATACAGAAGACGGCTTCAGTTGTTGGCTATGTAAATACTTCAACCATAAACCATTTTTTGCTGGGGATATCCAACGCAAAGTTCAATCGATCAATCGTTCATTCACAGTCATCCACCAAAATGCAACACGTGGGCATTATCGGCTCGGGGATCATCGGCCTTCTGTCGGCTCTGGCCCTCACCGATGCCGGCTACCAAGTGACCATCGTGGCCCGCGATCTACCGGGCGATGAGACTCAAGACTGGGCCAGTCCTTGGTGAGATTCTCTATCCCCCCAAAATTGTTCATGTCTTCTGACTGCGCTACATGCTAAACTACGACGCAACAGGGCCGGCGTATCGATCTTCCCGCACCCCGACGCAGGCGGCGAATCCCTCCAGACCGAGAACTTCAAATACTTCTGGGCATTAGCACATCGCGATCCAACGAGCGGTGTTCAAGTAAGTCAGCCACTCACTCGGAGTGCACATCCTGCTCGTGCCATGAGCTCCCCACTAACCCGTCCCTTACGATATGGCCAGGTCATAAAAGCAACGGAACACTACGACGACCGCGACGACGATTCCACCATCTGGTACAAGACGGTCGTACCGCGTTACCGTCTGATCCCAAAGGAAAAGCTGCCCGATGGAGTGAAACTCGGATTCACATACACCTCCATGACGATCAACCCCGCATACCTCCTCCCATGGATCCAAAAGCAGCTGCAGGCTCGTGGGGTGACCTTCATCCGGAAGACGCTGAGCTCGATCGAAGAAGCTAAAAAGATCACCGGAGCGAAAGTCATCGTCCACGCCTCCGGGCTGGGTGCTTACACTCTCGCCGGCGACAAGAATGTGGAGGCGATCCGCGGACAGACCATGTTCGTCAAGACGGACTTTGTCGAACAGTTGATGATGCATCAGGGCTCGCACTACACCTACGTTATTCCGCGGATGTTCACAAATGGTGCGATCATCGGAGGCGTGAGCCAGCCCGGCAATCTGGATCGGAACGTGGATACAGATCTACGTGCGGATATCCTCCAGCGGGTGAATACGATGACGAATGGCGGTCTGTTGTCGGTTGATCTGGAGAAGGATGTCCAAAAGGATATTGTCGCCTTTCGGCCTGGGAGAAAAGGGGGTTATCGGCTGGAAGTCGAGGGGGATGTCGTACATGCCTACGGGTTTGCCGGGCTGGGTTATATCTTTAGTTACGGCGTGGCGTTGAAGGTCCGGGAGCTGGTTGACTCGATTGTGTGGCAGGATGAGGTTCCAAGGAGTCGTCTTTGATATGCTTTTGTGGGCATGCTGTACCGGCCTGACGAAAAGGGGAAGCATCCACGGTTGAAATGGCTACATGAAACACATTATGCATAATTCTCACGGGAAGGAGGAGCCATAAAGAGCTCTCAATAAGTCAGACGAGGCGTATCCAGGCAGAACATAGTCCTCGTGTTACGAAAGGTAATTGGGCAAGTAAATGTAAAGCAGGGGAGCACTTGCCTATCAGGCTTCTGCCTAGAGCTTGATGGATTTGCCAACAAATCTGCTTTGCCTGCAATCAAGACTTGTCCTCTAGATAACTTCCAGGTGATATGCATCTCGATAAGAGACCGAGTTCGGGAGCAAACATGTAACTGGTTATCCACGCCGCATGGGGATGATCTCCTAGCCCCACCCTCGGCGTAAATGTGCAATGGGGACATGAAGCACTCATCATACTCTTCTTCTCCGGAAGGAGTTTCCATATTCTCTCCTTTATCGGCTTCCCCGCATCCCCATATCTCACAGGTGGGCCACACTAAGCGCAATCAAGCAATAACCGGGGATGCGCCAGGTCTAGATAATTGGTGCACCCGTAGGGGTATTGGAATGCCACTTGTCCAGAATCCATGTCTATGTTCTCTACACCTACTACCAACATTATGTCTGCCATGAAGAAACAAGAAATCTCTGACCCTGACCGGAACAGCATTGCCCCTGTGCAATCACAGATTGATGAAGCATCCAGCGAGCCAATTCAAGATGATGCTGTATTCGGTGAGATCCGTGAAGGGAATACCAACTATCGGAATGTGAGGTCTTTGAGAATTTCTTCAAGAATCAACCCATCAAACTGACACAGCCTAGGTGAGCTGGCTGGGAACCACAGCTCTCATGATTAAAACTCAAATCGGTCTGGGAGTTCTTTCGATGCCTAAAGTCTTCGATATCCTTGGAATAGTGCCCGGAATAATCCTGCTTCTAACAATCGCCGGGATGACATCTTGGTCAAACTGGATGGTGGGTGTCTTCAAACTAAGCCACCCCAGTGTTTATGGGATTGACGACGTGGGGAAAATGCTGTTTGGACGCTTTGGCTATGAACTACTCGGTGCAGCATACACTTTGTGTGAGAGCTTACTTTTCAAGATGATTTTGACCCGGGCTCTAACCTCTTGCTAGACTGGATCTTTGTTGGTGGTTCGGCTCTGTTGAGCATCTCGATTTCCCTGAACGCACTCTCTGACCACGGAGCTTGCACTGCAGTCTTCGTGGCTGTCGCTGCCATTATTGGATTGATCTTTTCCAGCATCCAAACCCTTGGTCGTATCAGCTGGTTGGCCTGGGTAGGCGCTGCATGCATCATTACTGCAGGTATGTTGAGCTGAGTCCCTCCAAATATTCATTTGAAACTAAATGATCGCCAGTCTTTATCCTCACGATCGCCGTTGGAATTCAAGGTCATGCTCCCATGACAGACGGCGTGATCCCAGCCCCAGATTACAAACTCTTTGGCAATCCGACCTTTGTCGAGGCCATGACTGCTCTCTCGACCATCTCCTTGACCTACGCGGGAACCCCGGCGTTCTTCAACATCGTCTCGGAGATGCGTGACCCGCGACACTTCACTCGAGCCCTAACCATCTGTCAAGTCACTGTCACGGTCATTTACATTGTAGTCGGAACAGTCGTGTACTACTACTGCGGATCGCATGTTGCATCACCCGCTCTAGGTTCTGCGGGGATCTTGATCAAGAAGATCAGCTACGGATTCGCTCTCCCGGGGCTGGCTGTCTCCGCCACTCTCATGCTTCATGTGAGTCTTCGCTGCCAATTCCAACATCTTGGCTGATGTTCTAACATAACTAACATTACACAAGTTACCGGCTAAACACATCTTTATCCGCATCCTTCGGGGCACCAGACACCTGACCGGCCAGACTCGGACCCACTGGATCGTGTGGCTCGGGTCCACCTTTACGGTGACCTCGGTCGCATACATCGTCGCAAGCAGCATCCCGGTCTTTAGCGATCTGGTATCACTTGTGGGGGCTCTTCTCGCCACGTCGTTATGCTTCCAACCGATGGGATGTATGTGGCTGTATGACAACTGGGGACCGGGCCGGCAGAAGAAGTCTCTGCGGTGGTGCTTGATGGTTGCCTGGTGTGTCTTTGTCATCCTGACCGGCTTCTTCTTGACGATAGGGGGAACCTACAGCTCCATAGTGAGTATCATTTCGTCTTACGAGAAGACCGAGGGGTCCTCGGCCTGGTCTTGCGCCAATAATGATAACTAAGGAACCCTGGTTACCGTTGAATATGTGTATTTGTGTATATAAGCGGGAAACTGAAAGACAGTGACTGCCTCTTGTACCTAGTTCCAGTGAGACAATCGAGTGAAGCTTTTTGAAAGTTGTTGTGCATACGTTCAACCCTTTCAGTAGAGATCCTGGTATTAGTGCTACTGTCCCCAAACCCAGTAGATGTCTTTATCATTGCTCTAAACTCGAGCCAAAAGCTCTTCTGCAGGCTTTTGTTCTCAGAAAGTGCTTTGCTTTCATAAGCTGTTAGGGTCGTCACTTGCAGACATCAACACATCTTTGGCGGTCGGAGGCTCCGGTCGGGTGCATACCAAGTACTGTGCACATATGACGTTGAGGCTCGCTTCAAAATAAGCCCTGTATGGGTATAAGTATAACAACCTCCAGGCTATAGGGAGTAGTTCACAAAATCGGAAAGACATCCTTATCAGATGATGTGTTCAGATCTACCCCAGCTTTCAGGGCCCGCTGACGCCCAACCTTCCGAATTCGGAGTTCCGCGGAACCACCTGCCAATTCAGGCGATCAACTGCAGGGGCAGCTTGGAAACATCCCCCATCGATGAATTTGTCGCCAGAAACTCGAGGTACTTAAGTGAGTACCTGTCCGAGCTTGTGTTGAATGACATCTCAATCAGAAACCTATTACTTTAAATCCTTAATTGTGCTCAGTCCTCTCTCCTCCACCTCAGAACCCATCGTCGATCCAGACCATAACCACCCACCACGATAACTACAATCAACAGCACAATGGCCGACCTCCACGGAATCATGGTGGCGCTAATCACCCCCTTCACCGACGACCAGACGGCGATCGACGCCCCGCGCCTCCAGGCCCTGATCGACCGCCTCATCAAAGCCGGCGTGCACGGCCTCGTCCCCGGCGGCAGCACCGGCGAATTCACCGCCATGACCATTGCAGAACGCAAACAACTGACCGAGCTCGTTGTCAAGTACGCCGACGGCCGCGTGCCCGTCATCGCCGGCACGGGGGCCCTCACCACGCGGGATACGCTGGAGCTCTCGCTGCACGCCGCCGAGGCTGGCGCCTCAGCGCTGATGGTGGTGCCCCCCTTCTACGACGCAGTCACCCTGACCGAACTCAAGACCCTGATGGCCGAGATCACGCAAGCGACGCAGCTGCCCATCGTCTACTACAACATCCCCTCCGCCACGGGGCTGAAACTGACGCCCGCGGAGCTGGCGAGTCTGTCGGAGGTGGGCGTGCGCTACCTGAAGGATACGTCGGGCGACGCGCCCGCCCTGACGGAGATGCTGTTCGGGCTGTCGGATCGGATCACCGCGTTCAACGGCTGGGACACGCTGACCTTCTACGGGCTGGCGGCGGGCGCGCGCGGCGGGGTCTGGGGCGCCGCCAACATCATCCCCGAGCTGGCGGTCGAGCTGTGGGAGGCGGTCGCCGTGCGCGGCGATCTGGCCCGGGGCCGCGAGCTGTGGGCCAAGGCCTGGCCCGTCTGCAAGTTCCTCGAGTCCCATAACTATGCCGCCGCCGTCAAGACGGGGCTGGAGTTGACGGGGACCCCCACCGGTGGCGTGCGCAGGCCGTTTCAAATGTTGGGGACGGAGGTGCAGGAGGAGTTCAAGGTGCTGATCCAGGGTGCTGGGGTGAAGACTGTTTAACGTATTGTTTTCAAGATAAATATATGTGCGGGTTTTGCGCAGACGTCAATGAAATGTCCAAAGATTGATGCTCGCGATGCTTTGGTTGTAGCAGGTTCAGTCCTCTGGCATGGTACGCTCAAATTCCGGATGGGGCCAACCAAAGCTGGATTGAATCTCGTCAGGTCATAGTATGCGAGAGGTATTTTGTCTCCAGGCGGAAGTGTACTGCGGAGACAGTGATCCTACCGGACGAGGTTATATGGGTTCAATTTCCAGCGGGACCTGATCCCGCAGATCACTTCTGATGACCTTATCACAGAATCAACAGACAAGTGTCGGATCTTAGCGGCGACGCTAGAAAGAATGTACAGTCCAGACGTAGCTAAAAATACCTTGGAGCCTCAACCTCGCCGTGCTTGCCGTGATAACCGGCGCCCTAGTCAGGCACCCCTGTCAATGAGTTCCACTCCAGACAATGACCTATAGGCCCAGAGTCACGTTATAATGACCATATTCATGTTCATATGATTGTGATAAGGGAGGAAAAGTATGACCCACGAGAGCAAAGAGGAGAAAGATACTGAAGCATGCCATTCAGTAGTGGGGATCGCGCGACCGTCACAAGCTCTCCGCGCACTGACCCGATTTTTGCCCCGGCCGCCACTTACTTGCTCACTTACTTGGACAGTGTTGTCTTTTCCATCCTTGTTCTAGACCTCGGCATCGCCCCATTCGGGAAGAGGGGTTCGCTTTCCACTGATTGGGTGATTTTCAAGAGCTGGTACGCGCGAATGGTGTTTGCTTTTCGGGTACCGTGCTCTCGGGAGTGAGGGGAACAGTTAGGTCAGTGGCGCCGACGCAGCGCTACTTGCGGGCTGTCTCGTGTTTGCTTGGGGGTTATAGTGGACGTTGCGGGCTGGGATCCTGGAGCTCGACACGTACGCGTGCCAGGATCATCCGCTGTCGACTGGGCTGGGAATCTTGGTAGTGTGATGATGACGGCAGCGAGGCACTGTGTCTATTTGAGGGTTGGGAAATTGCGGAAGGCGCTCCGGTATTGGCGTTGAATCCGTTCAATGTAGTGCACTACACGACTCCGGAGTCTTTTATGTAGGGATGAACTCGGGGGAGATTATGCTGAGTAAGACAACTAGGTTGCCGAGGCGATTGAATATAAGGACGGGTCTTGATTCTAACTCTTATGAGATAGAAGTGGTATGACAGAGAGAGATGTTTGTTCCGAACCGAGCCAGAGATTTCAAGGGCCCTCAGTGAAGATTCATTGCATGAAGATCATTGAAATATGTATTGTACCCGTGGAGAGACCCTTGATGTAAGGCAGGTTTCCTGATCCCAGATGATAAAGTAGGACAGGAAGAGCAGGGCAATGAGGGAACCGAGCCTCGCACGTCAGAGAAGGTCAGCATGATACTGACGGTACATAAGATATCATTGGGTAGAAGTCATCCTCCTACTTCTTCGCGTCCTGGTTCTCTGACTAGCGACGCATTAACCTGACCCGGTCGGATTGAGAATGGATCCAGCCATGCCAGGAAGTCGATGCAGTGGGATGGTCGTAGAGATCGGACTAGCACCAGATATCCTGCTGCGAGGGGCAATCTTCCTTAGCCATGCCCGCTCTAGTTCTTTCTCTTCGGCACTTTGAGATGTTGCCGTCCATGATTCGATCACTTGCAACTCTCACCGCGATCATAATGAAATTTTGTTCAGGGAGGTCCAAGAATACGTCTTTGTAACTGTGAACCTCGGAAAGATCCTTTTAAGCATAAAATCAGTGTACCAGACTCACGATAAAAGGTGTGAAATGGCTAAACATCATCTGGCCACGTAGGGTGGTGGTTCAATGCACAGTGGCAGGGCGTGTTGTCTTTCAAGTGCTGACGTGCATCGAAATGGCCCCCAAACAATTTCCTGTCCAGCGAACGGAACCTTCATGCTTGGGTCTAGCTCCTTGCATAACCAGGCTGAAGGATTTAGAAATCTCGCGTGCAGGGGTAACTGGGCCATGATGAAAGTGAAAAGCAGGTTGGACTGGCTGTTAAGAGGTAGATGCGGGAAGAAGTGGAGCGGATTACTCCCAAGGTTGCCGCTCAGGTTAGCCCGATTTTGAACACCTCATCTGTTCTCATGTCACTTCGTTCCTTCCTTCGTGGTTTGTCATGATACACCGCTGTTTGACACTGGTGAAGCGGGAGCGGAAGGGAGAGACGCAAGGGGGGAGGGAGGTCAGCTGGCAAGATTGCGGAAAAAGCGGATAAGGTGAGGGGTCGTGAGGAGAAGGGGAAACATGAGGACGGCTTGGATGACAGCTTGTTCGAATGATGACAGTATTCGCTAAAGAGTGAGATGACGGGCCTTCGAAGTGAATTCTTGATGTGGAGGAGGGGACATTTTAGGTCCGTGCCACTCGTCGGACTTAGGGTTCGGTGATGCGCGGAGATGACTGCTATTCTTGGACCGGGCTTGTGCATACGGTGGCTGAAGGGCGTCGCAGTGGATGGTTAGACATTCCCGGGAACGAGTATTTCCGTCCAGTGTTTTGACCCATCGAGCCAACAGTGGCCGCGATATTAAAAGCATCTGATATCATGCGGGGGAGGCAGCCAGCATTCCTCCTGGCTGATCCGGGGGCCGCGACTGAGATGCCGAGCTCCCGGATTGGAGAACCGAACAGCCACGACTGGGTCTGGCTGACAGGCCTTAAGCCTTTTTGGTCGCGGCTCCATGCAGCTGCATAATTGGGACTGGATCATCTGCACCGGGAAAATCAAGCATTGGACAAGAATTCCCCGCACGCGGGAGGGGCAGATGTGCAGTACTGTACATACACACCTCGCTTCCGTTAGTAGGTCAATTATGGTAACTATTCGTTAGAGTCATTCAACAAGCTCCACTACAAACTGTTCTCCTCGCTTACTGCACAACTTACGTGTGCTGCAGATTTACAACAGGTAGACATACCGTGCTTGCGTGGAAGCTACACCCAACAAGGTCCCCCTGTCTCCACGATTGTGCCGAAGAGATCAACTCTCAAACGGCTAGCCCTTATGAGCCCCTCCCAGCCTCCATCTCCTGCCTAGGTCACCTACCGACCAAAAAAAAAACCACCTTTTCTGAGAACTCATGATTACCAGTATCTCCACTTGGTAAGCAGCCGTGCGCCCAGCCAGCGGACTGCGCAATGGCTGCAGCCCTAGCCCTTCCCAACATGTCTCCGCTTCGTGAGGGGTAAGCAAAAGATTGAGCAGCGAATATACCTGGTTCAACGTCATCTCAACCAGCTGCAGCGTGAGGGGAAGGATTGCTGCGGGCCTGTGGTCTCGAGAAATGACCCCAAAATTGGGCCAGAGGTATAAATAAGAATCTGCAGGACGCGTTGCAGCGCTCCTTTCCGTTCAAACAACCATCTTCGTCTTCTCAATCTCCTCTTCCCAAACTTTTCACGCGCAGAGACACGATGAAGTCTGCATTGTTACTTTCTCTCCCTCTCGCGACGCTGTTCGCCTCGCGGATCCAAGGTGCCCCAACGAGCAACCCCCCACTGCGGGGATCGGAAGACCTGCTTGGGTATTCCTCGTCGAACACGCTCTCCGATCAGACGACGGAAGACATCACGTACACGCCGGTGGACGGACAAACCGACGACGCCGATCTCGGCGTGTACCTCGATTTTGAGGATTCGGATAGTCCGCAGCCGATCCGAGGGAACAAGGGCGCGACGGATCCAGGTCCAAGTAAGGCTTCCTCCTTTTAAGCCATTGAGAAACAGAGTTTTTAATGTGATGGCACACTTCTGCAGGAAACACCGACTACGATCGCATCAACAGTGACAAATTGGCGCCCCCTGGCACGGATGAAGGACAGACAATCAATGCGCAATGGCCCATGGGTGAGTGTTTTCCTTTGTCTGGTTAAGCTTTACCACTGACGGGTTAAACAGGACTCAGTCACAACCGGTAAGTCAGCCCACTGCGAGTACCGAAGCAATACTAATCCGATAGGCTCGGAATGAATGAATCCGGATGGGCGCGACAGGAAAATACCGTGGTGATGCCAGGAGCTACGAAAATGGCCGGAGTGGATATGCGCCTGGAGGCTGGGGCGTATCGTGAACTGCACTGGCATGTCGCGGCCGAGTGGTCGTTAGTTTTAAACGGATCATGTCGCATTGAGGTGAGCTTTGTTCTGAACTCGCTGGTTGCGAATTTCATAATACTCTCACTAACCTTGTACAGGCTGTGAACGAAAATGGACAGACCTTTGTCGATGACGTAACAGCCGGCGATGTCTGGTTTTTCCCTCCGTACGTCCCTAATTTGTCCCTACTTTGTCCCTAATTTTGCGACATGAGCTTGATAAGCTGGGCGCCCAATCAGTGACTGACCCAAATCGTGAACAGTGGAATCCCGCACTCGATCCAGGCCCTGGACTCCGGGGTCGAGTTTCTACTGGTCTTCGATGACGGTGCCTTCTCCGAGGACAACACATTCCTCGCCACCGAAGTGTTTGCCCACCAGCCTGTAGGTTTGACCCAATTATCAGCTACTTATTGACTACGGCCACTTATGCTCATTTCCTGGTCGACAGAAATCCGTCCTAGCCAAGAACTTTGACCTCCCCGTCGCCGCCTTCGACGATATCCCCGAGGACGAACTGTACATCTTCCCCGGCACGCCCGCGCCAGCCAACATCAGCGAGCAGAATGTGACCGGCACCGCGGGCGTTATCCCCCAGAGCCAAAGCTACTCCTACCATTTCTCCGAGCAGCCCGCCCACGAGGTGGAAGGCGGATCCGTCAAGATCGTCGATCCGCTGACTTTCCCCGTCGCCGACAATTTCGCCGCTGCCGTGGTCACCGTGCATCCAGGCGGCATGCGCGAGATTCACTGGCATCCGACCAGCGACGAGTGGACATTTTTCATCCAGGGCCAGGGTCGCGCGACTTTATTTACCGCACCCAGCACCGCCACTACCTTTGACTTCCGCGCCGGCGACGTGGGGTATTTCCCTCAGTCTAACAGCCATTATATCGAGAACACCGGCGATGAGGATTTGGTCTTTGTCGAGGTATTGCAGGCGGATCAATTCTCTGGTGAGTCCTTCCTTGCTCCTCGCTCGTCGAGCTGGCTCTCGCGATACTCTGCTAACCAGAAACCAGATGTGTCGCTCGGCCAATGGATCGGATCTACCCCCAAGCAGATCGTAGCGGACACGTTGCGATTGCCGCAGAGTGCTTTGGATCGGCTGAAGACGGAGAAAATGTATGTGGTTGCTGGGTCG